TTATGGGAATCACTGACAGAGGGAAAAAGTACCAGCTTTGAAGTCAGACGGAGCTGGATCCTGACTCTAGCTCTTTTTACCAGTGGTGTGACCCCAGGCAGGTTACTTCCCCCATCAGAACTCAGTTTCCCTGCCTACAGTGGGGGTTGTGAGGATTATGTAAGAGCGATGGAGTGGCTACATGGTGGATATCATTCCTGCAAGGGCCAAGTGCAGGCAGCTCCAGCCGTACAGAGAGTGTGTCTTCCTGAATGCAAACCCCTGAGTCCCTTTTCCCGCTGTGGCTTCCAAAGATCTGGAAGGCGGGCAGGGGGCAAAGGGCCATGCCAGGACCCATATAGCATCCTTTCTGAACCCCTGCAGGTCCCCCATCCTCAGAGACTCCTGTGAGGAGTACTTGCATTGAAACTGAGCTCAGAGCCTGGAGTGTTTCTTGACAAGGCGTGAGCATTGGAATCAAGGGGACCCTACTGCCAACTTCTAACTCAGTACGTCCAGAGTAGGGTCCAGCGGTCTCCATGCTTTTACAAGCTCCTTAGGTGATTCTCATGGGCACTTCAGCAGAGAGCCACTGAATGAAAGAAAGGAAATTCTGCACATTTCAAACACTCACTGGCTGTGGTGGGGGGGGGGCGGAGAGAGAGTGTGTGTGTGTGTGTGTATGTGTGTATGTAGGGTATGGGGAGATGGGAAGAGTTACAGCCATCTTTCCAGTGTCCCTGAAATCATGCCAGGTATCAGGGGTCCCACAGGAGTGGCCTTCCCAGCAAGTGCCCTTGTTGTCTTTGTGCTGCTGGTTCCCAAATGCCTGGCACTTCAGAGTAGGGTCAGCCTGGGATTGTGCATGGCCTGCTTGAAGTTTCAGTTACTCTTTGACTGCTCAGAGCTTTGCGCATGTGTGACATTCAGATCTAGGGCCTGGAATGAAGCCCTTTTTTGCTTCTGTATTGTTCTGGAGCTGGCTGCCTGCACACTGTGACCTCATAGACCACTCAGGGCTGTGACCTCCTGTGCTCCAGTCCCAGCCAGAATCCTGTGCTTAAAAGGAGGGTTCCCTGTGTCTCCTGTCAGGTGACTAGAAGTTGTGTCCCTGGCCACAGTCCCAGTGAGCACGGAGACGTACAAAGCCCAAATGCCCTTTAGTTCTTCCCTCTGCCTCTGTTCCTGCCCAGCCGCTATTGTTTGGTTCCCTTTGAGTTCCCAGCCCCTCTGTCTCTTGAGAGAGGACGGATAACCCGAGCCTCAGGAAGTAGCAGAAGCAGCCAGGGGCTGTCTCCTGGTGGCCTCACGATACATTTCACAAAGCAAAGATCACTTTGCCAAGAGGCCCCTTTGGTTGTCATGGCAACGTGGATAGCTTGTGTCTGGGGGGATGCTGGCCATCCTCCTGGCTGCCCCAGTTCCCTGGTCCCAGCTTTCTTTCCCAGATCCTTTCCACAGGCCCCCACCATGCTGGCGCCACCTCACATGAACTGCTCTTCAGTGTGGAGCAGCTTTGTCTTGACCAGCAAAACAACTACTTGGCTTTGCTATCAAAGGAGTCAGTCACGCCGTCCCTCTCCTCTAAACCCTCCAGCTTCTCAGTTCTCTCAAGGCTAAAGTTCCAGCCAGGCCCTCTAGGTCGCACATAACCTGGCCTCAGTTTCCTCACTGGCCTCATCTCCCACCGTTCTTTCCCTTACCAACTGCCCCAGGCACACTGACCCCTCCTCATCACTCTTCCTCAGACATGCCAGGGAGGCACACCTCAGGCCCTTTGCACTCGCTGTTGTACTCTCTGCCCTGAGTTCCCATGCTGGTTCTCTCCCTTTACTGAGGTCTCTACTCACACATCCCCTGGTCAGAGAGGCCCCCCCGATCACCCTACCTAACATGGCAGCCCTTCTCCCTTCACCGAGCTTTCCCTCTCCTTCAACCCCTGGCATCGTATCATAGACTCGATTTTCTGTTGGCTTAATATTCACCTTCCCCAGGAGACTGCCCCAGAAGGCGCCACCCAGAGTCCACACTCATAAATATTTGTTACCCAAGTGGATGAATTCAAAGCCTGACTCTGCTATTTGGTAGCTCTATGGAAGTGAGCAAGCCACCTGGTCACCCTGAGCCTCAGTCTCCTGGTCTGGAACATGGTGACGACAATATCTGCTAGGTACAGTGGCAAGAATAAATGAAGCAGCACAGTGAGTAGGACCAGCACGTGCCCCGCAGACGGCAGCTGACCTCACCTCCCCTTCTTGTGTCAGTGATGTTCAGAATGCTCTCCTTGCCCTAGGCTCCGGGACACCCACACACTTCCAGTGGTGGCTCTGTGATCTGCCAGGGGGACCTGCAGGAGGCCCAAGGAAAAGACAGCCAGCGATGGGGTGGGGCTCCTACAGAAGGGTTCCACACTCGGGCTGGGGCAGCACAGCTTCTGTGTAGAAGACCAGGCCATCTCGCCCTCCCTGCTACCTTCCCTCCTCTCCCGAGGCCTCAGAGAGACCGCCTCTGCCGGGCTGGGTGAGATGTCTCCTTCAGCCTCCCCTTGGCTACAGGAGGCCCAGCCAGTCACCCCAGAGCACAGTCTTCACTGCTTTCCTCAGGAGGGGTCCTTGGTGTAGGGTCAAAAGTATTGAAGGGAGGAAGGCAATTCACAGCTCTTTTTTAATAGACTGGGAGATACATTTGCCCGTTTCTGAAGCTGTTAGGAAAGGAAATACTCTGTCCACTTCAAGTTCCACCTATTCAGTTTGAGGTTGAGATTCTTCCTTCAGTCTTTTGGGTCTGACATTTCCCAGAGAGGACCAGGGCCAGTGAACGTGGACAGCATTGAGTGTGCCCTGTGCGTGGAGTCTGAACAAAGCACTGGGGAGATACAAAGAGCAGGGGGTCCAGTGCCTGCCTTCGAGGGGCTGGCCTATGCCTGAGGGACCATGGGCTACAAGGACCGCAGGCCAGCTCATTAGGGCCACTAAATGCACCAGCACTGGGGACAGTGTAGTCTTCAACTGGGAAGTCTACAGTGTCTACATCTCTTGTGTTTAGATAATGGAGTAAGACACTTGCTTAGTCGGTTGACAAGTGACAGTTGTCACTTGACACAAGGGACAGAGAGTAACAGGTGCCTGGCAGATAAACGATGGAATCCAATGTAAAGGCTGCCGAAAGGGAAAGAATAAGGTCATGCCATAATAAGGACCTCTCAGCAGGCTAAACTCCCAGGGAGATACTGCATTTGGGATCAAAAGGATGATCACTGAAATAGGATGCACCTTGACAACCATTCATAAAAATAGGAAAGGGTTTAAACTGACCACAAGTGTCACAGAGGACAGTGAGAAACCAAAACAGTGCTGCTGGAAAACCAGAACAGCGCTAGGGAGGCTGTCTGGTCTAAACATTTATCTCTTTGGAACCAGAAAAAAATGGGCTCGAATCCCAGCCCTGCCACCTATTGGCTGTGTGACCTTGGGTTATTCACCACCCTCTCTGAGCCTCAGAATATTACTGAAATGAGATAGTAATACCTGCCCTGCTGGATTATTTTGAGAATTAGCAATAAGGGAGTAGAGCACCTAGGTGAGCGTCTAGGAGAACTGGGCAGAACCTGGCATATAGAAGGCACTCGATAAACGGTGATTGTTGGTAATTCACCTCCTGTAGAAATAAAGCATGTAAAATTTTAAAAGCTAGGAGAACTCTTCTCTATCCTGCCCTTCTCAGTCCTGTCTGGAGTATTACGTCTGGATTTAGGCTCTGTACTCTAATTGAAAAGTCACTATGTCATTGAGCCCTTAGATGAGGGAACTGGACAGAGTCAGCCTGAAACTAAAGCTCCAGGTGCATGTGATATTTCGTTGTTGTTGTTAAAGTATTTAAAGAACCATCAAATTATGAAGGAGGATGTTGTGCTCCAAAGATCCAAAGTAGAAGTGAAAAGTTAATGGGGTAGATCTCAGCTCTGAGTAAGAGAAAACAGAGCTGCCCACAATGAAGTGTGCTCTCAGGCAAAGTAGTGAGCCCCCCGCCCCGGCATTATTGGGGCAGAAAGCAGATGACCATCGTCAGAGATGTTAGAAAAGGAATTTCTGAATCCAGAGCCCTTGCAACCAAACAAACCTGGATTTGGACCCAGGTTCCTGAAGTTAGCTGTGTGGCCTTGGCCAGATTAACTTTTTTGAACCTCCATGCCCTTATCTGTAAAATGGGGGCAATAATACCTCCAATGAGTATTAGAAGGATTAAATCTGATTGCATCGAGAAAGCACCTGGCCCATAGTAGATTTTCCCCTCCATGGAGTGAAATGCAGGGCTGCGTGACTTCTAAGATGGCTTCTGTGAGGCTAAGAAATGCTGTACCATCACAGAGAGCCTCTGAGGGATGAGCAGACCCCACCACCAGGCTGGGAAAGGACAGGCTCCACACAGCACACGAGCAAGCAGCGTGCAGCCAACAGTGGCAGTCGGCATGCCTGGGGACACAGCCCTCACTTAGCTCTTGCCGGGGTCCTGTCGCCCGTCTTGTGGGCAGGGCATTTGAGCATGGTTCTCAGCCCTGGGTGCACATGGAGTTAATCAGGCTTGGGAGGGAAGCCGAAAATAGGAGACATGATTTGAGGCTCGAGAATTTGGCATCTCATCTTGTGCAAAGTAAGATGTGAGCCAGGTTAGTAATGTCTTCTTGGTTTGTGAAGGGCTATGTATCAGAGAAGGGGGAATTGCCATTTTGCATTTTCCATGGGGACTCAACAGGCAATGCGTGAACTCCACTGTAAAAGAATCAGTAGCGATATGAGGAAGGATTCTCTGCCAGTGACGGATGTTGGCCGTGGGAGGGACAGTGACCTTGGGGGCTTTCAGCTGAGCAGAGACTGCCGTCCAAAGGAGGCGGATGAAGCGAACGCCTTTCCAAAAGCCTCAGGAGGACTCCCAGGGGCCCCTTTCATCTGCTCTAAACATCACACTTTTCTCTTTACCTTTCTTCCTCACTGGAGTAAACCATCAGCATCTCCCTCCTCCAGGTATCTCAGAAAACACAACTGTGCCCTCAGCTCCAGACCCGATGGAAGAGAAGCTGCGATTACAGCTGGAGGAGGAAAAGAGAAGGTGCCCTTTCTTTTTGCCGCACACACCCTGACCCCAGCCACAGAGGGTGCTGGGGACGACCTGGAGCTATTGGGGCAGAGCAGGGTGGCCACGCGCACCACCCCTCTCCAGGCCTGGAGCTACTCTGGGAAGCCAATCCGAAAATAACTGGAGGAAGGCAGATGTAAAATGCAGGAGGCCGAGGCAGTGTGAGGTTGGAATGGGGAGCAGAAGGCCGGGCCAGGCTCCGGAGCCAGGATCCAGGAGTCTGGCAGGGAGAGCTGGTTGCCCTGGGCCCCTCCCCAGCCCGGGTCCCAGGCTGCAGCTCGGGAAGCCGCTGGTCTTGTCTGCTGCTGCCATCTAGGGGAGCCAAGAAGTATGACCATAGAGGGCTTCCCCCCCAACCCCCGCCAGCCTGCAGCTTCGCCCCTCTTCTCTCCTGAGTCTCCTCATGGGCAAGGTATCCTGAGAACATCAGACCCTCCTGCAGCCATTTAGGGTCCCCAAATGGTTTAACCTGCAGAGGGAGGCACCTCAAGCATAAACAGACATGTGGCTGTTCCTGATGCAAGTTTCGCAGTTCATTCGTTCCTTGAGCCATTCAACAAACAAATGCTGGCTCTCTCCTCCGCCATGGAGGGCTTTGGGGGAGACCAGACAGGAAACCTTCCTTGCTCTCAAGGTGCCGATACTGTCACTGCAACACACGCCACCCCTGGGCTGGCTGGGCAAGCACCATGAGCAAACCCTGTCACCCTGCCCGCCCCCCACCCCCAGGTGGCCTGGATTCACATCCTGACTCCTGTCTTTATTAGCTCTGTGCTACAGAGCAGGTTCCTTAACCTCTCCATGCCTCAGGTGCCTGATCTTTAAGGGGAGGGGATAATAATAGCATCTTCCACACAGGGCTGTGAAGAGGATTCATGGGTTTGTATTGTCAGTGCCTAGAGCGATGCCTGCCCCTTCAGAGCCCAGCAGTGGGGGTTATCATCCTTGGAGAGGGTTGTTCCTCCCACACACACAGCCCCGCGGGCCCATGGACAGAAACACCACACCCTGGTCTCGGTGGGCCACTCTAAGGTCCCAGTCCCCAGCACCAGGGCTGCCCTGCCAGGCTTCTGTGGCTCAGGCCCTGCAGCTGACAGTCCATTTGGAGCCGTCCTTCCCTGCCAGTGACTCTGAGGACTCTCCTCTGATTCCACCTTAGGTATAAAACCATGTTCACACGCCTGAAGGCCCTGAAGGTGGAGATCGAGCACTTGCAGTTACTCATGGACAAGGCCAAGGTGAAGCTGCAGAAAGAGTTTGATGCCTGGTGGGCAGAGGAGGCCACCAGCCTGCAGGTACTGGCAGCCGTGCCCCTCGCTGCCCCAGAGCCCGCCCTCCTCCCATGGCCTGGGGAATGTCAGCGCAGCTAGGGAGGGGCCAGACACACAGCCCCAGGGGTAGGGGCGGGGGGGGGGGGGCTTCGACACAGACTCACATGCTCTCAGCCCCTGGCTTGTGAGGCAGCTACTTGTGTTAGTAACAAGGAATGGCAGTGGTCAGGGCACACTAACACGTTGAGAGGTGGCAGGGGGAGCTGAACTCCCCAAGCCGGTGGATTGGCTGCCACTGCCTTGTGTGACATCGATTGTTTTTTATTACAGTCATGAACACATGGTATAAATGCTAGAAAATACAGAAAAACACAAAGTAAAATCACTGTACTCTCACCACTTAAGGATAACCAATGATAACATGTTGGATTTTATTTTTTGTATTTTCATGCATATACATCCATATACCTTTATAAAAATGGAATCATATTGGTCTTCAAGAATCACAAACGGCTTTTATTTTTACTTCATTGTACACATGCCAACTCTTCCATGTCATTATTCCATGACATCATTCCAATGGCTGTCACTGTTCAAGCACATGGATTTATTTTAATGTATTTAATCTCCTATTGTTTAATGTTTAGGTTGTTTTGGGGTTGTGTCACTGGAAACATTTCTGAATATACATGTTTGCATATTTCCTAAACAGATTCCTAGAAGTTCTCTATAATATTATGAAGCCTAAAATAGCCTATTAAGAGGTGTTAGTATGAACCCCCAGTTCTGACCTCACGTGACCCTCGCTGTGTACAATAAAGATGAAATACACATAATCGGATCACTTGTGTGGCTGGCAGACCCCTCAGGGGTTACCTTACAGGCTGATCGCTTCATTGTAAGGACAGGGAAACTGAGAGCCAGAGGACAAATTTTCCAAGGACACAGCCAAGCAGTAACCCACACGTTACCAAGAGGCCTTGTGACTAGACAAGGGAAAAGCATATTTGGATAAAGTTAAATGCACAAGATGGAAATACAGTTATCATGATATTTTAATAACAAAGTTACGGTATAGTAATATGTATGTCATTTTACAAATGCATTAATTAATAAGATCTAGGGGCTCGACAGTTACCATAATTTCAAAGCAGTGATGAACACAATATTGCAAGGTTTCTGCAACAGCTGTAATGTAATCTGAAAACATCTGTAATTTCTCCTGATGGCAGAGCCTCTCGTACCACCACAGACTACTGTGGTTCGTTGTCTACATTCAGTTGTTGGAAAAATGCTAAATTGCAGGTAGAAATTAGGAAAAATGAAGACGTCATTGGTTCAGTCACGTTCACAGCGCCCCCGGGTTCTGTCTGTTCTCCAGCTAGGAACCCTTCCTCATGGCGTGGTCAGTGAGTGAGGCGTCAGCCACTGCCGGTGCCCACGGGCATCCAGCCACTGGACGGTGATGAGGGCCATCCCATGTGACTCAGGAAGAGTCCAGGCAGGGCTGACAGATTCAGACAGTTTGTTACTCACGTAGACAGTGATGGCCAGAGCAGTCAAGGTGTCAGCTCCGCGTGTCCTCCGCCCCACAGGATGCCACTGAAACAGAAGGGACCAGGTCACTGCAGCAGGGATGGTGGGGCACCCTGTAGCTGAGGAGCCAATTCTCTGCGGCTACTAAGGCATTTTATAACCTGTGGACGTACCTGAGTTGGGTGAAGCAGAAAGCCTTCGACCTCATCAGAACATGGGAGGTAATGAGAACCTGTCAAGGGAGACGGGGAGGCCAGTGGGAAATGGCCTTGCAGCAGCTTCCCACAAGCCTCCCAGGCTCCCATCTTCTGGGAGAATCACAGGCGTCTGCCAAGACTCAGATCAGCTGCAGTTTAATCCCCGCTCAGGAGCCTGTGTGGGGACACGCACAGTTCCAGCACCCACCATGGCGGAGCTGCCCCTACATGAATTGCTCAGTGCATCTCTCCTGACTCTGCTAGCATCTCCTCAGGACAGGGGAAAGCAAAACCAGAAAGGACTTCTGGAGAACTTTCAGGTCACATTTTAAACTTTTCCCCCCAACTACAAAAGTAATACCTGCTTAATTTGGAGAACTTAGAAAACACAGGAACACACAAAGAATAAATCAAGCATTACCCATTTTCCTGCCATCCAAAGGTAATGTTTTGATATCCATCACTATGGTCATGACTACGTCTAGATTTTTTTCCTGCACGTGTTGTATCTACCAACTTTTATAGCCGGATTTTTCCCCTTACATCAGAGATGTTTTCCCGTGTCATTAGATTCACACTAACACTATGAAACTTTTTCTTGGACCAACAGGTAAACTCCCCACCAGTGAATTCATTCAGTCACATGAAGCCCTTTCCCCAGACGCCAGAATCCCAGCACGAGAGGTCCCAGCTTCTCTCTAACCAGAGGTAAGGAGGGAACCCTGCGGCAGGGTTAGGTTGCCCAGAAAAGTCCCTACCTCTCCTCAACCTGCTCTCACTGCTCTGAATGTCTCTCTATAGGCTGCACGACCCGGAAGGATGAATGGCTTTTTACTGTTAAATTAGTTGAGGATACTCAGGCCAGTGGCCTGCAGTCCTCCAGCCCTGTCCCCCTGGCACTGACCGCCAGTGGACCCACTGCCCCGGTAACAGGAGACAAGAGGTTTAACCAAATCATGCAAGCCTGGTCCTGCCCCTGGGTCAGAAGAAGGTTGGCAGTAGTGGGGTGGGGGGGGCGGTAATGTTGGTGTAAGGCAGAGGGGAGTTGGCCTGCCCAGACCCAGAGGAGCTCTGGTAAATGACTCCACCCTGGCACAGACTCAGGAGAGACGTGGGCACCTCCCCTGAGGACGGCCCAGAGCCAGAGTCCCTGAGTGATGGCACGATCCAGCACCGACCCCACTTCCCCACACACCACCTTCTGAAGGCAGGTTCCTTCTCCTGCCACCCACGTTGTTTTCTCTTTCCAACCGCACATCTCGGGTGCTAAAGCCAGTGGCACACGCCTCATCCACCCTCCATCCCTCAGGCAGACCCTGTAGCGTCATGACAGGGGCCAGGCCAGCATGAGTGGGACCTTGGCCTCCACCACCATTGACAGAGTTTGAACAGAAGCTGAGCTCTTATGTCAGAAATGTGAAATAGAGCTTTTCAAAAGGGGGTTGATAGGGTTGCCAGGTAGTATCTCTGATGCGATGTGATGAGGCTGGCACTTTACCTCCGTGGTCTCCTCAAAAACCCATATCCCGGTTGAATCATGAGGAAGACCTCAGACAAGTCCCCGTTGAGGGACGTTCTACAAAATACCTGACCAGTACTCCCCCAAACTATCAGATCGTCAAAAAACAGAAGAGTCTGAGAAACTGTCACAGATGAGGCGCCTCAGGAGATATGATGACAAAGCGTAACTCTGGGATGGGAGCCCAGATCAGAAAAAGCACATTAGGTAAAAACTAAGAAAATCCAAATAACTTATGGACTCTAGTTAACAATCACGTATCAGCGCTGGTTCATGAGCTGTGACAAAGGCGCCGCACAAACGTAGATTGTGTAATAAGGGATTCTGCGTATGGGTACACGGGAACTCTTTGAACCATCTCTGCAACTTTTCTGTAAATCAGAAACTATTATTTGTAAAAAACAAAAACAAAAACTGCCAGTGAGCCGTCCACCCCCGGCTGTCGCTTTCCCTGGACCTCTCCGCCTCCCCCAACCTGGCCCTCAGGGCCAGCACTTCGCTTGTATCCTGCTTTTAGGGAACAGCTTCTGTGTGAGCCCCTAAGCCCCCGATCAGCAGCTGGCAAGTATGTTTTGTTTGGCTGCCCTCGTGTTTTAAAGGGCAGTGTAGACCCATAAAGGAAAGAATTGATAAGTCTGACTTTAATAATATGATGTATGTAAGTCACCATTATGCTATACATCTTAAACTTACACAGTGCTGTATGTCAATTGCATCTCAATAAAACTAGGGAAAAAAAAAAAGAGGAGAGGGTGGAGGAGTGCCAGGCAAAAGTGCTGCGCTGTGAAAGATACTGTTAAGAGAATGAAAAGATAAACCACCGACTGGGAGAAAATACTTGAAAAACATATATCTGATAAAGGACTTATATCCGCAATACAAAAACACTCAAAATTCAGCAATAAGAAAAACAACCCAATTTAAAAATGGACAAAAGATCGGAACGGCCTCCTCCCCAAAGATGAGCTGCAGATGGCAAATGAGTGTGTAACAGGATGCTCAATGTCACATGTCACTGTGGAACTGCAAATGACTGCAACGAGACACCACGATGCACCTATGACAAAAGCTAAATTAAAAAAAAAAAAAAAAGATACCACCAAATCCTCTTGAGGATGTGGAGCAACAGGAACTCTCATTCATTGCTGGTAGGAAAGCAAAATGGTACAGCCTCTTGGGGAAAGAGTTTGGTGGTTTCTTACTAAACTCAGCCTACTCTTACCCCATACAGCTCAGCAGTCGTGCTCTTTTGTGTTTGCCCAAGTGAGCTGAGAACTTACATCCACAAAAAACCTTCATATGGTTACTTACAGCAACTTTATTCATAATTGCCTAAAATCAGAAGCAACCAAGATGTCCTTCAAAAGGTGAATGGATTAAACCAACTGTGGTGCATCTGTGCCGTGGAATATTATTCAGGGATAAAAAAGAGTGAGCTATTGAGCCATGAAAATGCCAGGAGGAACCTTAAATGCGTATCACTAAATGATGAAGCCAGTCTGAAAAGGCTACATACTGTAGGCTTCCTGGAAAAGTAGACATGTAAACATTCTGGAAAAGGCAGAACTGTGGACACAGGTAGAAAGATCAGCAGTTGCCAGAAGGAGGGGAGAGGGGAGAGTGGAAAGGATGAATGAGAGGGACACGGGATTTTTAAGGCAGTGAAATGATGCTGGGTGGTACTGCAATGGTAGATAAATGATATGCATTTGTCAAAATCCATATAGAGCTGTACAAAAGGAAGAGTGAACCCTGATGTAAGCTGTGGACATTAGTTAATAATAACGGATCGATATTGGCATATCAGTTGTAACAAATGCACATCACTAATGCAAGGTGTCAGTAATAGGAGAAAGTACAAGGGGGGAGAGAGGTTATATGAGAGTTCAGTGTACTCTCTGCTCAGTTTTCTGTAAACCTAAAACTTCTCTAAAAAACAGTCCATTTGTTAAAAAATAAATAAAAGGCAGTGTACATAGGCAGCTGCCCTGCTCCAGGGCCGTACAGGCAGCTCAGCATTCGTATCCACACAGGCCCTCTCTGCATTCACTTGGGGACCTGCCAGCCTCCAGGGTACTTGAGTTTGCAACCCCTGGACATGCCTCCTGCCCCACATAGGGCCCCCTCGCTGAAGCCCCAGGACTCCGCGAAGCATGTTTGAAAAACACTAGTCCAGCCAGCCTAGAGGACAGAGCTTCCCCCAGTCACTGGTCTGGCGAGTTCTGAGCCTCCCATGTGTCTGCCTCTGGAGAATGGCCCTCCTCCCAACTGAGGGGCTTCTCTGAACCCCTGGTTACTTCCCCTGCCTCTTCTTTGACCTCTTTCATACCTCCTACCGGTAGGAATATATTCCCTATTCCTACCAGTAAATAGGGAGCTCCAACTCTCATTTTTCTTTTGTTTCAAGACAATGAATGTGTGTGTGTGTCTCAGGAGAGGCCTAGTAAACCCGCTCCAGGGCTGTAAGGTGGAAATAGACTGTGCCTGCCAAGTGAAGTTCAGAACCTTGGATTTCAAAGGTGTGTATCAAGATTACCCATGGGAGCTTCTCCAGAAACCTTGCTCACAGAGCTCTACCCCACACTCCTTTGATGAGGCTGGAAGAGGGTCTTTGGGGAGAGGGCTCTCAGGCGGGCCCTGGCGTGCTGCTCAGACTCTGCCTCCGGTGCTCTGGTGGGGTATCTGACTCTCGGCGGAGATAACCAAGTGTCCTGAAAAGTGTTTGTTAAGACACCTTGACTGTGAGCGGTTGGCACCCCTAGATTCCCTCCCACACAGTAGTGTTTAGATACCAAAAATCATGGGCGGAAAGGTTGCAGGAGACTGGTGAGAGGGAAGGGTCCCTGCTAGAGACTGCAAAGGGAGAGGTCTAGGGCTCCACCTCTGATGAAGAAATCACCTGCCCCTGCTTTAGAAAGCTGGCAGAGAAGAGCTGACAGAAGCTCACGGGTCTACCAAGGGTGAGGCGGGGAGGACACCCTGTCCCTGGTCATTGTGGCTTTGCAGACTTTCTCTGTGAACAGCCAACAGTGGAAGATTAGTTGTTAATGTCTTAAATTCTCCAAGGAGACAGCAGTGTCTTTCTTCTCTTATGGTAATAATATCCCTGTCATTTATCGAGGGCCCTACAGGCCAGGCATTGAACAAATGTGTGATGTATGTGCTGTTGTTGTGCCCATTTTACAGATGAGAACACTTAGGCTCCAAGAGATCAACTAATCTGCTAGGGTCATCCAGCTAATAAGGGGTGAGACCAGGATTGGAACCCAAGCCTGTCCGCATCTGGCCACCCCTCCCCTCACTCCTCACGTCAGCTTCCTTTAACCTTAATGGCTGTCCTTTAGGGGCACGTGCATATCCTGTTGTTTAGTAAAGGGTGGCATTTTCCGAACTATATTCTGTGCTATTTCATTACAAATGAGTTTTCTTCATATTCTCCCAAACACCAGGTCCTCCTGCTTGGGGTCCACACTCTTTCAATGTGTCCATGGTCTGATTGTCCCAAGAGGCCAGGACTTTCAAAGAGCAAAATGATGGCTCCTTAGAAGACCAACCTTGGTCTAGAAAACCAGAGCTCCCAGTTATTGGCCTCATCATCTCAGCTGAGAAACCCTGAAATGAGGTCCCCACCCCCCCCATTTCACGAATGAGAAAACTAAGTCCCAGGAAGGGACTGAGATGTTCTGAACTCTGTCATTAATAAGAGAATAGCTGTGGCCTCAGCCCAAACTTCAGAGTCCACACTGAGTAGCATTTTCCCCTTCCTTCCCGCCACCCTGCTCCCCTGCCCCATCCTCTCTTGGCTTCACCCCTCACTCCCTTGTCTCCCCCACCTCCACTTTCTTGCTCTACCTAATTAGCCCCGCCTACATTCTTTTTCTCCCTCTTTCTCATCTTCCTCCCTATGCTCCTCCCCTCTTCTTCCGTACTCCCTCTCAGCCAAGGTCACTCTCTGTTGCTTATCCATCTGTCCATCCCACTGTCAGCTTCTCTGAGTGTCCACCCCGGAATGGGCCTAAGAACTGGCCACTGGGCACGCCTCCTGGGATCTCCCTGGGACAGAAACCACTGATGGAACCCTCCCCCAACTTCCACCTTCTCTGAGAAGCAGCGCCTATCCTGGCCCCAGCCTCCCTGGATACTCTTCAGGTATCCCAAGTTAAGGTGATCGCTGGATATGTCTGCCAAGAGATCCTTAACCTTGAATCTCAAATATGCCCATCAGCTCACCATGGGTCACCAGCAAGGAGCCCCTCAATTTAGACTTTCCCAAAGGGTGTATCAAGCAAACTTTCATCACAGCTCTTCCAAGCAGCAGGCCCTTGGGCAAGCCAGCTACCCCTCGGGGGGTTCCCTCATCTCATCTGTCAGATGCATCAAGGCCCCTGTGACACTCGTTCCATGATCAGGGCGGGGTCCCGGGGCCAATGAAGAGCTGCAGGAGTCAGGGAGTGAGAGTCCAGCTGGCTGTTTCGGGCTGAGCCCCGGAGAGGATGATAGCCCCTCTGCAGGTGGGGCCGATCCTCTTCTCCTCAGGTTCTGACAGAAACCTGACTCCATCACTTCCCCAGGGATGCTCAGGGCCTGGGGACTGATCACACTCAACTCACAACACTCTGATGGGCAACCCAGGAAACCTAATTATTATTAATATTACTTACTAACTCTTGTTAAGAAAGAGATAATTAATTCTGATGGCTGGTGTGCTCTCTCTCCAGAAGGAATGTCAATGTGAGAAATGAGTTCACTGTCAAGGGCTAGTGGGTCAGGAGATAGGGCAAAAGTAATTTGTGGTGTGAGCCTGAGGGTTCAGACCTGGAGCTGTGGCATCTGAGGATGCTCGAGCAGCTTCGGGGCCGGAGGAGTCGCTCCCCTCCAGAGCCCCGAGCCTTCACACTGTGCCCTCCTCCTGCATGAGCTGGTCGGGGCAACAGGCCGGGCAGCTGGGCCTCTGCAGAGGGTGCCGGATGCCCTCATGTGCCCTGGTGAGATCACGCCTCTGCCCTATCACATCCATCTCTGCCCTCTTCCACCCACTCCCAACCCTCCACAGGTGGTGCCTGTGGGCGCTCCCTGCAATCTTAGATAAGGCTCAGCTGGGAATCCATTGAGGTCATGAGCCATTTGTGTGCCAATTACTTGATCATGCGAGACTTGCTACAGCTTCCACACTGACCTTGACCTGGTGTCTTTGAAGCACCTGCCGGTTGGAAAGCCCTTTCTCCTCCCCTTGTTGAGGCCAGCTCCAGGAACCATTCTGAAGGGGCCCTGGTAACTGGTCACTGTTCTCCAAAGGAAAGCTCTCAAAGCCTGCCACCTTGTGGCTGCCTGTGGTCCTACAGCTCACCGGACAGCACAGATCCTCAACTCCCCCAAACTCAGTGGAGAGTCTCTGGAATATTGGGAAATAGATATCTGAAAAAAAAAAAATCCCAAGCTCTGATTTCCTTTCCTATTTGTAGGACCCACAATCCTGAACCTGTGGAGTCCCGCCCAGAGTAAGAGGTCCTGCCGCCGACTGAGATGGAAGAGGGCAGAAAGCTGGAGCTGGCGAAGCAGCTGTGTTCATGGCTGGGCCAGCAGGTTGTCGGGCTGGTGGAGTGCCTTGGGCTGATGATGCAGGCTGGGCAAGGCTGGAGCACCTGTCTCTAACCCTGGCCCACCTCTTAGCCCTAGAATCCCCATCTGTAAAAGGAGGGTTCAGACCGGGTGACTTTTTAGGCCTTTCCCAGCTCTGACGTTGGGTCTAGGCAGGACCAGGGCAAAGCAAAGGAGAGGATCCCATCATGTCACTGGCATCCCAGGACAGCTTGCCTCCTCACCTCCCAAGGAGGGGCTGCTGGGTTCCACTGTTTGCAACCACGAATCCAAGGCAAGGAGCCCACATCGGGAAGCCTAATGAAATGGGCAAAACTGCATCTGCAAGAGCTATTGGATCTGACTTGTCACTCAGGGAGCACAGAGCTGATCAGCCAGGGCCACCCAGGGTCAGTCTGTGTGGTAAGCCATGTTTCTCCAGCATGTGTTTCCTCAGAACACCACAGAGTCAAGTCTGGTTAGTAAAGCATGAGTTCTGAAGCCTCACAGAGTTGTGATTAGATCCAGATACTGCCACCTACCAGCTGGCAGAATGTCTTTAGCCTTGCTCAGCCTCAGCTTTCTCATCTATATAATGGGGATGATGAGGCTATTGAGAGAATCCAGTGGTGTGATTGCAGAGCATCTTCCCAGGACCTGATATGTAGACAGTGTCTATAAATGACAGTTGTGATCATTATTTTTGTTCAACTTCCACAGCCAGTATATGCAATGTTCTAACAATGGAAATTAATGTATAAACCATCTGCTATAGATTGAATGTTTGCATCTCTCAAAATTCATATGTTGAAATTTAATCCCCATTGTGACATCATTAAGGGGTGGAGCCTTTGGGTTAATTTGGTCATGAGGATGGTGCCCTCAAGAATGGGAAGTACCCTTAAAAGAAGAGGCAGAGAGAGCTCGCTCCCCCTCTTTCTATCTGCCACCCAGCAGGTGGCTCTCTCCAGAACACAATCAAGCTAGCACCCTAGTCTCAGATGTCCAGCCTCCAGAACTGTGAGAAGTGAATTTCCAACATTTAAAAGCCACTCAGCCTATGTGCTTCATTACAGCAGTCCAAAGTGACTAAGCCAGAAATTAGTGCCAGAAGTGGGGTGTTACTGTAACAAATGCTTAAAAATGTAGATGAGGCTTTGGAACCAGGTAGTAGGTAGAGGCTGGAAGAATTTTGAAGTGCATGCTAGAAGACTCAGAGATTGTCATGAATGGACTTTTAAAAGCAGTTCTGGAGAGGGCTCAGAAAGACAAGAGAACAGTGTAGAGAAAGCTTCCATCTTCTTAGAGAATACATGAGTAATCATGTAGAGAATGTTGGTAGAACTATGGACAGTAAAGGCTATTCTGATGATGTCTCAGACAAAAATGAGGAACATGTTATTGGATGATGAAGAAAAGGTGATCTTGAGGGGGAGGGTGTAGCTCAGTTGTGGAGTGTGCGCTTAACATGCACAAGGTCCTAGGTTCAATCTCCCGACCTCTGTTAAAAGATAAACAAATAAACGAACGAACAAACCTAATTCCCTCTCCCCAGAATTAATTAAGTAATTAATTTTTAAAAAGAAACAGTGACCTTATTGTAAAGTGACAAAGAACTCAGCTGAGTTGTGCTCATGTTCTAGCGTTCGGTGGAAGGAAGTACTTGCATGCGAGTGATAAAATTGGACATTTAGCTGAGGAGATTTCTAAGCAAAGTGCTGAAGGAGTGGCTTGGCTCCTCCTGACTATTGACAGTAAAACAGAAGAGAGAAATGACTTGAAGACGGAATTACTAAGCCAAAAGGAACAAGAACGTAGAGATTTGAAAATTCTCGGCCTATCCATATTGCAAAACAAATGAGAAAACATCTTAGAAGAGAACGCTAGGAGATTAGTGTGGATGTGCATCCCGAATTTCACCAGCTACCCCAGCAGGACAACTGCCAGACTGAACTGAAGGGAAGGAGATGGGAAAGGATAAAGGAAGGCCAGCGGATTTCTTGGATCTCTCAGCACAGGAGTCTCGAGCTGTTCTGTGAACTTGCACTATTCTTCAGGACAAGAGAAGAATGACCCCAAAGGCAATTCAGAGATGATTACAACTGCCTGCTCCTTTTCAAAAGTGGGGACTGTAGCCTTGCTTTCAACAGGCCAGACCGCCTCTGCCCAACTGTGGGGGCAGCGTTGTTCAGGAGAACCATGCGGGCAGGACCTGGGCCTCTAACCCAGGGGGTCCAGAAGACTGGACCTTCATCCCAGCAAGTCCTGAGTGTTTGCAAGCCTTAAGACTTCACAGAGTCTACATTGTGAAGTTTTGGATTTGCTTGGGACCTGTCACTCCCTCCTTCTTTCCTGTTTCTCCCTTTTGGAATGGAAATGTCTATCCTATGCTTGTCCCATCATTGTATTTTGGAGACACCTAACGTGTCTTGTTTTACAGATTCACAGCTGCCTTAGAATGAATCGTACCTCAAGCCTCACTCATATTGGATTTAGATGAAATTTTGGACTTTATAGAGTTGAGGCTGGCACAAGTTAGGGGCAGGTGGAATGGAATGAATGTGCTTTAAAGGAGAAGGGTATGAATTTGGTGGCAGGGTTTTTGTGGGAAACAGTAAGGTCAGGGCAGAATGTTATGAACTGAATGTGTCCTCCAAAAATTCATATGTTGAAATCTAACCTCCAATGTGATGGTATTAAGAGGTGGGCCTTTGGAGGAGGTGAGCCTTTAGGTCATGAGTGTGCGGCCCTCATGAATGGGGTTAGTGCCCTGATACGAAGAGGCCAGAGAGCTGGCTCACCCTCCTTCTACCATAAGAGAACACTATGACAATTTGGGGGTCTTGACCATGCTGACACCCTATCTCAGACTTCCAGCCTCTAGAACAGTGAGAAATAAATTCCTCTTGTTGAAGCCATCCAACCTATGGTATTCTGTTATGGCAGCTTGAACTAACTAATCACCATCCACAACAGAGGATTCTTGTCATAGTCAGCTTCAGCTGCCATAACAAAATACTGTGAACTAAGCAGCTTAAACAACAGGAATGTACTTATTTCTCACAGTTCTGGAGGCTGAGATGTCCCACATCAAAGTCCAGCAGGATCAGTTTCTGGTAAGAACCCTTTTTCTGGTTTCCAGACAGCCACCTCCTCACTGTGATCTTACATGGTAGAAACACAGCTCTGATGGCTCATCCTCTTCTTATAAGGGCATCAGTCCTATTATGCGGGCCCCACCTCATGACCTCATCAAAACTAATTCCCTACCATAAGGCCCCATCTCCAAGTACCATCATCACATTGGGGATTAGATTTCAACATAGGATTTTTGGGGAGACACAAACTTTCAGTCCACACAGCTCCTAAATAGAAACCCTAAATTTCTCTTTTGTCCACCTCCTCCCATACCTTCTCCTTTCGTTGGTTTGTCTTTCACAGTGATGTGTATACCAGGAAGATCCTGCCCTCGCCTGGCCCACTCCTGCACAGCCAGGAGCAGAGCAGCACAGGCACCCACCTGGAAGACAGGTCTGTGCTCTTCTCCCTCTGACGCCGGTGATGCCCCTGCAGTGGGTACGATGGGCTGACATCGCCACAGCCCAGGGAGCCCCTTGTGCAGTGGCCTCACAGACAGAGCCCAGGGTGACCCCCGCCCTGGTACCCCAGGAATTCCCTGGAATCTCTCCCAGAGCCAGGGAATTTTCTTCTGGGGTCGCTGGGCCCTCAGGCTGGCAGACTTGCTTCACATATCCTTGTAAATAGACAGACGTGGGGCCATTAAAGCAGAGAAGAGCCGGCCCAGGGCGGGGTCCACCACAGCCCAGAGTCCCCACGCAGGGAAGGGCGCAGAGTTGACAAGCTGGCCTCAGGCCTGTGAGCCCATCGCTCCAGGCTGTGCAAAGCTGACGAGGCCCCTCCCCGGCGTGCCCTCTCTGTGCCCCTGACTAGGATGCCTGCATACCCTTCTTCATCTGCAGACCCTGATCTTCTCCCCAGGCCATCCAAGGGTGAATTCCAACCTCCATCCCTCCACAACCCCAGACAGAATGTACAGCTCCCACCCAGCTCCCTGGCCCCCCTGCCACACCCCTGCTCTGGCACTTCTCACTGAGTGCGGCTAGAATGGCAGAACTGCGTGTGCCCCTTCATTATATGCAATCCCCGCTGCCTTCCAAGGGACTGGATGCTGTCGCCTGCTGTGGGGAGTGATGGGTGTGAGGACGGACACTTTGCCGAGCCAGGAGGGTGCCTTGCTTTAAATTTTCTTTTAAGGGGGATTTTCACATAGGAGTTGGATGAGAAAGAGGAGGGAGAAGGAGACATGTATCCCTCCCTTTGTAAGGGGATTTCCCTCTTAAGAGGATTTCACTTCTTACAGATTTTATTGGCCAGAACCTGGTCACCTGGCCACACACAGCTGCAAAGAAGGAAATGGAGTTTTTTTTTAAGTTGCTACAACTTAATCAGCTAAGAATTATGGTTCTGTTTTTAAGGAGAGAGAGGAGAAGAGTTATCTCTGCCTCAGGAGCGATAAGCTAAGCTACGGCCGGGGGGCTGGGGGGGATGGGGACACAGTGGGTACACATCCTAAAGGATATGACATCTAAAGAGATAGTCAGGCCCCGGGTAGAATGGGCTTGGTTTGGGTAAGTTGGGGGTCGGGGTGGAAAAGGTGCTGAGAGAAAGCACATTCAGCCATGGAAAGTTCTTGGGGGAGGGCAACCCAGGAAGAGGAGACAGCAAGCCGAAGGGCCTGAGGCCAGAAGGAACTTGGTGTATTCTAGTGACAGGAAGAAGGTCAGGATGGCCGGAGCACAGTGAACCGGCCCAGGTCACACAGAGACAGAGTTTGAATTTCATTCCAAGAATGATGAGAAGCCACTAAGGGTTTGAGCCAAAAGACCAGGGGGCACATGCCACATTTGCATGTAGAAGGATTGCCATGGGGGCTGCAGAGGAGAAGGGGGCTGAGGAGGCGGCAGAGGGCAGTTGCTGGATGAGATCCAGTCACTGAACACAGAAAAGCAGTTTGGAAAGGTAAGCACAGGGGCCGAACATAAGGCATAGTAATGTGTGACCTGTGGTTGTCCTCAGCATCGCCAAGAGGCCAGTGTCATCCGTCCCTCTGACTGGGGACAGCCAGACAGACTCTGATATCCTGGCATTCATCAAGGCCAGACAGAGCATTCTGCAGAGGACAGGTAAGTGCCCCTTTCCCCAGAAGGCAGCATCAGAAACACCAAGACAGGCCAAGCGGGTGGCCGGCCCAGGTGCCCCCGCCCTGCTGGGCAAAGCCCCTGTCCCTTCTCCACAAGGGGCTGGCTGGCCCGGGTGCCCCTGCCCCTCCTCCGAATCTTCAGCTCCTTTTGTTGCCGGCTCCCCTCTGCTCAGCCCTCTCCAAGCAGGAAGGGGCTGAGTGATGGTTTGATAACTTGTTTAACCCCGGCCAATGATAGGTATGGACACAGAACAATACTAAACAGACAGTCAGTGAATCAACACTGTATTTATTAGGCACCTTCTGTATGCCAGGCATGAGGCTGAAGGGCCCACAAGTACAGCCCACTTCTCAGGCCTCCCCATCAGGCAAACACACAGGCGGGGGCACAGGCACCTTCCCCAGCCAAAGCAAACACTCCCTCTGCCCGGCCCTGGGCCCCTGTGCTCTTAATTTGGCAGCTGTCTGACTGGGCTTCCTCAGAAGTGCTCGTTACGGGGAATTTGTGACTGTCAGCCTGGGAGCAGGAGCCCAGAAGGGATGATTTAACACAAACCTCACCCGCCAGCTCTTAGGCTTCACTGGTGGCCGGGATGAATCTACTTGATTTAGGATTCATGGAAAAGCCGTGGAACGTTCAAGTCCCTTGCTAGGGGCACCTGTGGACAGGTATATCTCCCCCTTATGGGGCGTTAGTCATCCTTGGTGTCGAGTCTGCTGCTTCTAACTGCCAACAATGGGTTGAAAATCTGAGAAAATGAGATTAACCCCTTTTTAGAGTGCTTTTTTTTTAATCTTCCTTAATCCCTGTGTTTGGAAGTATTTGCATCTGGACAGGAACCTTGGTGTGACCCCTGTGACCACAGCGCCCTCTTCTCTAGCTGGTGTCAGGAAGAGTTTCTATCCGAGGGCCCTAAACCCCCTGTCCCCCCACCTCACCACCTCCACTCTGAGAAACCCTCTGGCTCTCCCCTTCGGTCAGGAACCCTCTCAGCGAAACAGAAAGAACACAGATCTGGGAGGGAGGACTCCCAGACACCAGGGCTCTCTCTGCCCTGGGTGACTTTGGGCAGGTCACCTCCTCCAGCCTCCCTCTCACGTCTGTCAAGTTCAGATTCCAGGGTGGTCAGCCTCTCCTGACCTGAGATAACGTCCATAAAAGTCCCTCGTGCACTGCCGAGCACCAGGGAGCCGTCAGCAGGAAAGTCGGCCTCTGCGGTGAGAGTTTGTCCAATACGGTGAGGTGCGATTTTTTTTAAATGGTGTGGCAGTAACCTCCACTCTGGGAATCTACAGTCCCAAAACCCCAATACAGACTGACAGCTCCATCACTTAACTAAGGTTCGTAAAATAAAGAATATTTTGGGTGGAGGTCTGTGTCTGTGAGGAGCTGTGTCTTGGGGTATGGTGCCCTCTGAGCCCAGCCCTGCGCCATTTCTTTTCAGCCCCACCCCTACCCTAGTCATCTCCGCAGGCAAGTTGCGGGGGCAGTGACGGTCCGAGGGTGGGAGCTGGCTCAGACACCATGCTCCTCACCACTTATCCTGGCCCAGGATGCTTGCCATGGTGCAGAGGAGGCATCAGACCTGTGACTTAAGCAGCTACCACATGCCTGGTGGTCCCCAGCACCCACCCTCGCCAGTGTTCAGAATAGAGAGATAAAAGCAATGGAGTTCAGCCCTGGCTATTCATTGGAAACACCTGGGCCCACTGACGAGCTCCTGATTTAATCCTTCCTGGGAGTGGCTGGATATGAGGATTCCTTACAGCTCCCCAGGGGTTCCAGTGTGCAGCAGAGCTGGGAACCATGGGTCCAGGCTGACTGGAACACATCGCCTTCTCATATGCCACTGTGTGATGTTCTTTCTTCCTGTCCTAGGCTTCAATTAGGACAGCTAGGAATGGCTTAAAACTAGGACCCCCTCCACTTAATTAAACAGTGAGGCCAGCCTGAGGTCTTGCGCACAGAACTTGACCTGAAGGACCAAGGACCTTGAATTGTTTTCTACCTCCTCCCCGTTTCCTCCCACATTCAACATGTCACAGGGGAAGGTAGAGCTCAGTGGTAGAGTGTGTTCAATTAGCATGCCCGAGGTCCTGGGTTTAATTCCCCAGTACCACAGTTTAAAATAAACCTAATTACTTCCCTGCCCCCCAAACAAGTGTCACAGAGAATTACCGATTGTCCCTCAGCAACAGCAAGCAGACCAGGCCCACACTCCTGCACAGCCAGGTTCCAGACGGCTGCAGCTTTCTCACCCCTCAGTCTCGCTGCAGTTTTTTTAAACAGTGTTCTTTACACAAGAATCTTCAGAAATTCCCTTTTGCTCTTATTATAACAGCCAGGCTTTAAGCAAATGAACTGTATGTCACTTATTCCAGTCCTCACACTTTTCTGGTCCAGTAAGTCTGGGTGGGACCCAGGATTCTGCATTTCTTAACAAGCTCCCAGGGGATGCCAGTACTGCTGGCCCATGGACCACAAAGCATGAAGCCACTCTAGGGGCCTTGCTTTTTCCAGGTACCTCATCTGCTTCAGTGATTTGGAAATGAGGAAAATAAGGCCCAGAGAATGAACATGATTTGCCCAAAGTCACACCACTGGTTGGGGACCATCCTACCTAGAACCCAGGGGCCCTGGATCTTAGTCCAGAGAACCCTTCTCCACAAGACAACAGGATGGGGTCACATGGTCAGGAGGAACCATCCCATAATATGATGAATATCTGGAGCAAAATGCCAGGAGAGACTCTCTTGGAGAATTAAGCAGGAGTGTCAGTGACAGCAGTGAAAACTGTGGGGTTGGGGGATGACTTGGTCCTGGCTCAGGGAGATGAAACTTTTGCAGACGGCAAAGGAGGCACTTAGGGAGTGAATGCAGCCCCTGGGAGTCAGGCCCTGAGAGGTGCACGGGGCAGGCGGCCAAGACCCAGGGGGAGTGGCCTGCAGCCCCCTCCCCTAGCCCTCCGTGGGGAGAAGTCCGTGCCCCACACACAACCTAACCAAGAGCACCTGTCTCCTTTCAGGCTGCCAGTAAGCATCCGCCCGCCGTGCATTCCAGCAGCAAGAACTGAGTACAGACGAAGGCGCCTCCTCTCACTCACCCTGGCTTCAGAAGCGACCTGTGGGCCACTGGGAGCAGCTGGTGACTTTGATGCCAGTGGAGGGCAATATGTTTCTCTAAAGATGGTGTCTGGAGGCTGCCAGGGAGGCTGGGGCCGGGCTTAGAGTACCATCCTCTCTGTGGCTGCTGGAGCTGTTGGCCAGGCAGGCCAGGCTGCTAGGGGTGGGACAAGGGCTTCAGCTGACTCTCGTGCTGTTTCACATAGATGACTATAAACCTTTGAGATTATGAAATAATCTGTAGTGGCGGGGGAAGCTCGCATGGGTAGAATGAGGGGGGGATAATAATGGGTTATTTTTAGCTATTTGCCAGCCCACTCCCTTGCCCCACCCCCTGGTTTAAAAGCCCAGGAATGACTGGGGCAGGCCAGGCAGCAGGTCAGAGCCAAAGACAAGGCAGTGGAACGCTGGGCGTCATGATGGTCAGTCCCAGTCTCCCAGACCAGACCCTCCAGCACCACCTCATGGACCGATACCTGAATTAGCTGCATCTCCAGAGAGCCACCCACACTGCAGGGTCTCAGGGCTTGGCAGCACTCACAGAGCAGGGACAGAGAGCTGAGGGGGCAGTTGTGGGTGCCTCGGGCCTCACCCTCAGCCCCTTGGGGCTCTGGAGGATGGGGGCTGAAACTCCCCACTCCCTTGGGGGGAAACACAGCTGAGGGGGGTCTTGTCTCACTGAGCCCTCTCAGTACCCCAGGCACACGCCAGTGGAGGGTGGGTAGCCCCCAGGAGGCCCTTGGGGCCCTGCCACCCGCCTCAGGGCGCTGGCAGCCAGGCTCCAAGCTGGAGGGCAGGGGCATGGCACCTGGAAATGAAGCTAACTGAATAAAAGAGCTTGTCCACTGCTCCTGCTATCTCTGTCCCATTAAGTACAGGCCCTCACTGCCCTAGAGAGAGAGCAGAGACAGGAAACAGTGTAATGCGCCTCGGCCTCCACCCCTTTTCAGGACTGGGTATTAAGTCATGTGGGAGAAGCGAGATCAATTCATTTCAAAGCTAGACTCACTCAAAGAGCTCCTTTAACCCACACCCTCATCTATATCATTAGAAAACTGATGCGAAGGGAGGACCTGGTTGTTAATATACAGCCAGTTAGTGGCAAATGTCCCCTCCTCAGGGGGCTTTCCCTGATCACCCCAACTAGAGTGGTCATGGTCACTCTCTATCCCATCACTCTGTTCTAGCTTTTCTCATCACTACCTGACATATCTTTCTTTATTTGCTTATTTTGTAATGGCCTGCAAACTAGCCCCCCACCAAGACTAAAAGCCCCGTGACAACAGGGACCTGTCTGCCCTGCTCCTCACTGTGTCCCCAGCGTGAGTTGGTCCTCAGTTAATGAATGGCAGAGTCAGAACCTGGACTTCCTGTCTCTTAGGCTCCCGTAACTTCACTCTGGCTCTGTGTCTGAGGCCCGTGGGGCATTCCGGCCCTCACAGCTCTGTGGCACACAATCCTCAGGAAATCCTATAGAACCAGGGGGAGGCCAAATAGCCTGATTCTAGAAGCCTTCCCAAGGGTCCACGGAGCACACAGATACACGCACTCCCAAGAACCCTGATGGTGGTGTGAAATCAGCCAGAGACCCCCCGAAGCAGCCTCAGCGTCCTAGCGCACCGCAGTGCTCCGGTGGTCTGGAGCTGGTTAAGGGTCCATCGACTGCGGCTCTCCTACGGAGGAGTTATCTCCCAGATCCAAAGGCCTTGTTGACAGGGATATGTGGTGTGGCCCCATGCAGGGTGCGAACAGCCTCCCGGAGAGATCACTAAGGCGGGAGAGGAAGTGAGGAAGAGAAACAGACAGCTCCCAAAGTTAGCCTCACACGTGGACACGTGCTCCTCTACAGTGTGTCTTCCCCACAGCTCTTTGGCCCCTACCAGTGAGAGAAATGGATGAAATGTTCTGAAAAGATACTCAGCAATCTACCTGGGCTCTGCCATGAGGTCCAGAGTATCTGAGTTCACTCCAGGCCAAAAGGTGGAGCTTTCCCAAAAAGTCTTCCAGAAAGCAGCCTGGCCAGTGACCCCAGCGCCGTCCCTACTAGAATTCAGTCGGCTCCGCCGTTCGCGTGACAGGGAAGGGTTAGGAGAAGGGTAGTTCGGGATGTGGCTTTCTCAGACCTTGAAAAGGGGAACTTGTAGAAACAGAGAAACTGTGGTAGCTTGAATAACTAGTCTTAATTCTTCACCCCCTGTGATAGAATTATACGTCCAAAGTTTGCCATGGGGGCAGAATATACTTCCTTACCCCTTAAATTTGGGCTTGGCCCTGTGGCTTGCTTTGGTCAGTGGGATGTTGGCAGATATGGGACATCTTGAAATGTGCTTGCACGGTTGGGCTTGCCTCTTGCATCTGCTTGAGCAGATATTCCCTGGGCAGGTGCTGCCCCTTCAGCCCATATCCCAGAACATACAGCAAGCAGACCTGAGCCCAGCCTGCAGCCTGGAGCCAAGCCCAGGAGACCTGGAGCAGAGTTTCCCCATCAAGGCCAGGCCAGATCAGCGGAGCCCCAGCTGACCCAAAGACCCACTCCCGTGTGAATACATGGTTTGTCATCATTAGCCACTGAGACTCGGGGTGGTTGGTTATGAGGCATTACTTGTAGCAATAGCTAACTGTTACAGAGATTTAAATCCAGAGACAGTACATGACTAGACCCAGCATTCCTCAGTGTTCGTCCCATCCCTCCATGCTGCCTATTGTAAGGCAGTATATGAAAAAGTGGGATTGTCACTTATGACCATGATAGAGCAACAGGGACCTGATTTACCCTCCTGCTCTAAACAACTGAAGACTAGACACATGGGTAAAATAATGGTTTTCAGACACTGGAGCAAAGGCAGGACAGGACATTGATCCCCAGGAGAAGAGAAACGAGTGAGCCCTGTAATTGCCCGTGTGCAGGGCCAGCCGGCAGTCACGGCCATAGCTTCCTGTCTGGAGCACCTGTGTGTCTCTACCTGAAGGTTCTCTGTGCCCCCAGGGGCTCTCAGCCTGTATGCAGGGCCAGCCGGCAGGCACGGCCATAGCTTCCTGTCCGTAGCATCTATGTGTCTTTACCTGAAGGTTCTCTGTGCCCCCAGGAGCTCTCAGCCCGTGTGCGGGGCAGGCCAGCAGCGCGGTTCACCTACCCTGGAGCAATCCTCAACCCCTGAGGGACCGGAGTTGATGGGTGAACACCTGCGCCTGCCCTGTGGGACAAGACTGAAGTGAGCCCTTCAGTGTCCCTGAGGGTCCCCGCAGGGTCAAGCCCCAGTTGCCCACAGTGGTCACCTGCTCAATAGCCACCCTGTGTTGGCTGCCTTCCCCTCCACCTTGCTTCCCCACTTTCCTGGGATCAGTTCCTGGCATCACTTTCCAGGTGAATTACACCCCAGTTTTGCCTCAGAATCTGCTCTGCAGTAAATCCAATTTGGGCAAGGACTTCTACTTCAGAGTCACAGTGGGGGACTCTTGCATCAAGCTCTCTGGGCTAGTGAAAATGGGAGTCCCCTGCCCCAACTTCAACCAGAGCCCAACTCCCAACTGCGCTACATACTAGGCCTCAGGGAAAGATTTCACTGAGAAAGGAATCCTGCTACTCCAATAACCAGTGGAAATTTCTAAACAAGATCAATAACAGGTGCCTGTGTTTGATTGTCTGTTGGTCTTGAGTCTCTCCCTCCGAATCACCCCTCAGCTTTCTCCACCCTCTCTGCTGGTCGCACAGTCGGGCTGGACCTCCCTCTCTGGCCAGGAGGGCAGACAAGGCCCCCCCACACCTGCACTACCCCACCTCCACACAGAAGACCGTCCCCCCCACTTCACCGCAGGGAGACCCACAGAGCTGTCATCCTGGCCCCGTCTTCGTCCCTGCCTTTTATCTGGGCTCAGTTAGGCGGCAGGATCCTAAAACAGAGCTCCCTCTCTCCACCTGCCCTTCCGCTACGGGAGACGTACCGGGGGCAGGTGGGCCTTATCTTCTCCCCTTAGTTCCAGGTCGGAACATGTCCCTTTACGTTTGTGCGGGTGGGTGCCTACTGAGTGACTCTGTAAGTGGATGCCGATGTTGGACAGTGGGTGGGTGGCCTATCCTCGCCCTCATCTCCAGGCTCGTTCAGATGGAAAGAGCCCATGCCCAGCTGCTCTGTTTGCTCTCTAGTCTCTGCCCACTGTACACGGAATCGATTGGGGGGAGGGTTGTTTTTCTTCTTTTCCCTCCAATCTCCTTATTAGTTCAGCCTCAGAAGGTCCCTTATCACTGCCGGATGTCAGGCCACACTCTGCCATCAGGCCTGGCCATGTGAGACTCTCCATTAATTGATTTTGCCCTCCCCTCTTGGGAAGCACAAATTGGCTCTCCCCATTAGCAGCAATAATTCCCTGGAAGGGATTATAAATCATGCCCCGTGTCCGTCCATCACTCTCAGCGGAGTGGTGCCCACGTGGGGAGGTGTCAGGCGGGGAGATGGAACATCTGATGGGCAGGGGAGGTCCCCATGGTCCTGCAGGTTCCTTCCTAAACCTGACCAAGTGAGTCCACAGCCAACCGGGGGAGTAGCTAAAACAGGTCCCAGCACACAGAGGGCACGCAACTAGTGGGTACTGAGTGAGGGGAGGGAGAGGAAGGGAGCTTCCTCTGTGGTGCAGAGTGCTTTGAGGACCTCAAGCTGACCTCCCACCAAGTCTACCATTGCATTACCATTCTTTGGCTCTGTGCCTTTGGGGGTGTCAGTAGTCCCCCATTAAACTGGAAGAGCTCCTGGGAAAGATTGTCTTCAACTCCAGTCAGGTGATGCCTGGCCCATCTGTGAGACGGGTGTGGGTGTGAGAGGAGGAGAGGAGAGCTGGCACCGGAGGCAAGCAGGGAGTACCGGCTACTGGGGAGGTGGCAGGGAGAGGAGGGGAAGCCAGCACATAGCCGGTGCTCAGGAGATGTCTGAGAAGGAGTAGGGTACTTGGCCCTCTGTGAGCCTGACACCCTTCCTGCCCAGGACCCCAGGGAGCGAGGGCTCCAAGGATGGCTGCTCGACCCACCCCCCCAACAGATTGCAGCCTTGCCTCTGCCCACTGAGTTCACTCCTCTCTCCTGCACAGATCGGCCCTCCTCTGCCTTCCTTCCCTTCCACCTGAGGTCAAGCACAACTACCTGCGGACGGTGTCCAGACCCACCGAAGATACTCAGGCTAAAGAGGTTGCAAGACCTGCCTGAGATCCCCGGACAGCGGTGGATGGGCTTCCTAAACGGTAAAGAGAGAACTCTTCACATATTGAGCTCCTCCAGGGCAATAAAATAGGATTCAATTATCGCACGGCCTGTCAGGTGTAAGTGCAGCCCCAGCTTAGGGCCAAGAATGGGCGAGTCAGCAGTGACAAGAGGACTGCCAGCACTCTTGCCCAATCTCTGCAACACACCAGGAGAAAACAGTCAAGGGCAAGACTTGTGACTCCAGACGCTGCTTCTGCCCCAAGACAAGCCGGCCTCCCAGCACTGTGGGGTCTGACAAAGCTCTGGGGGTGAGGAGGGCCTTATAGAAGATGGCTTTAGACCCCCAGGTGGCCTCAGGGACCCAGAACCAGCAGGACTACAGAGAAGGTGGCTGCCACCCCCAGACAGGGGACCAACTGGGTGTGCTTCACCCACCAGGGCTCCCCAGGAACCAGGAGGAGACCAAGACTACAGTGTCCCATAGTCTTTATCTCATACCCCTATCGGTCTTCACTTCTTCCACTGCTCAGACACAAACCCCCCCTCTCGGGGCTTTTTCTCAGACACATCATCATGATGGGTGAGACCAGTCGTGCTCCTGCCTGCTGACATGTATAAATGTGGGCTTCTGTTAGCCGGAAGGAGGGAAAGGATATCGAGCCAGCAGCTCCTATCTGTTGTGCAGCTCATGACAGGAAACGTCAGAAAACACAAGCAAAGAACTTGCAACGCTCACACACTGCTGGTAGGGATGTAAAATGTGCAGCCACTTCGGAAAAGTCTGGCAGTTCCTCAAAAAGTTAAACATAGAGTGACCGTGTGACCCAGCAGTTCTACCCCTAAGCAGATGAGAGGTACATGAGAGGAATGAAAATATACAGATGTACAAAAAACTTGCACATGAATATTCATAGCAGCATTATTCATTTAGTAGCCAAAGTGGAAGCAACCCAAATATCTTTCAACTGATAAATGGAGAAATGAAATGTTGGTATATCCATGCCATGAAAAGTTATTCAGCCATAAAGAATGAAGTACTGATATATGCCACATTATGGACGAACCTTAAAAACATTATACTGATTAAAGAAGCCAAGCACAAAAGGCCATGTATTGTATGATTACATTTATATGAAATTTCCAGAATAGGGAAATCCAGAGACAGCAAGTTAAAGGTTGCCAGAGGCTGAGGGAGCAGGCTGGGTGGCAGAGGGTGTTAGCTAAAGAGTACAGGCTTCTCTCTGAGGTGATGACAATGTTCTTAAATCGATTGTGGGGATGGTTGCAGGACTCTGAATATACTTGAAACAAAAACCATTCATTTGTATGCTTTAAATGTGTGAATGGTAGTATGGGAATTACATCTCAATAAAGCTGTTGCAAACACACACACACACACACACACACACACAAGCAGAGAAGAGAGAGGAGACTACCCTCGATTCCACCCACCCAGAGCCACAAAGTACTTTTGGCCTTTTTTTATTTGCATATATGTCTCACCAACATAGCTTCCCAAAGGGACCTGCTAAAGGATTTCAGAAAGGAAAATTAGCAAAAGCTCCGAAGCAAATGCATCCAATTTATTAGGAGCATCAACCCTGATACCATTCCCGATTGAGACTCATTTGTCTGTTTGCTTTGCCCTGATTTGTCACTCAGTTCCCTCATCCTCGGGTTCCCTCAGTAGGCGGGCCAATCCTTTCAGCCCCATTCTGTAGTCAAGGCAACTGAGTACAAGGTTTATTCACAGCCATTCTGATTTCTTCCCAGCCCCTAAGCTTGGGGGCTTAAAGCCATCATGGGTGAGAATCTGGGGGCTGCTAACGGGGCCCATTTGGACCTGGACAGAATGAAGGGGCACATCCAGTTTGGCCTAGTGATGCCCACCCGACTCAGAGGCAGAAGGTGAGACACGTGGCCTCAGGATGACCTGGTAGGTCCCTCTGAGGGGTCCCTGCCCCTTACTTGCTGCTCTCCGTGGAAAAAAAAAGGCCAGGCGGCGGGTGGCAGGCCTGTTTGCTCTCCCAGCACTTAGTGCAGCCAGGCTGAGCTGCGCTGTTCAAACAGACTCCCCAACCTCTACACACCTGTGCCGAAGAGGGCGAGACAGGCAGGGGGCTGGGCGCAGCTCCCTGGGTGCTTCCCACCTCTCTTCGCACAGCCAGCCCCACGGCCCTGGAAGAGTCCTGGGCACGCTATGCCCCGCACTGGGCTCTGCAGCTGCTGGGGCGGCTGGGTGCTGCCCCTGCTGCTGGTCTATGTCTGCTACCTGCTGCTCGGCGCCACCATCTTCCAGCTGCTGGAAAAGCAAGCGGAGGCTCAGTCTAGGGACCAGTTTCAGTTTGAGAAGCTGCGCTTCCTGGAGAACTACACCTGCTTGGACCAGCAAGCCCTGGAGCAGTTTTTGCAGGTGAAGGGGGGATGTTGGTGTGGAATGGTGGGCAGAATAGAGGGTCTCATAGCAAGTCCAGGTCCAGCACCCTGGGGCCAAGGCCCTATTTGGAAGCAGAATGTGGTGGCAACAGAGAGCCAGGTGTGACCTAGTGCTGGATTCTGGCCCCAGGTCTACAACTGGATGGCTGTGCAACATTGGGCAAGTCACTTAACCTCTCTGGTCTTCTAGATGAGGAGAATAACCTATGAGCTGCAGGCATTTGACGGCTGATTAAAAGCCCTCATAAGCTGCCACTTGCTACATAAACGTGAAGTGTGTGTCAGTGTTATTAACGCTGTGCACATTTCCTCCCTCACACTTCTGCACTCCGCCTACCCCAACTCCAGGGCTGCTGCTGCTCCTGCCCTCTTCCCAGCTGACCACATTCGAGGGCTCCAGGTGGGAGACACAGATAGAGGTCAGGAGCAGCCACCATGCTGGTAGTGGAGCTCGGCTTGGGGAGCAGTGGCCAAGGAGACTGAACTCCGCTGCTCCTGTGCCCATGGGGAGCTCTCCCTGCTGGCAGAGCAGGTCACCCCTGCTTGGGCCCTTTCTGCTTCCCTGAACAAACTCTGGGGCCCAGCACCCTCTTGCTCAGAAATCAGGCAAAACCCAGGTGTTCTGGGCGAAGGTGAGTGCATTCAAGACTAGGGAGTCAAGTTGAGCAGCAACACCCACCATAAAGGAACAAGCCAAGTGCAGAATCGTCACAATGATAACTGGTATTTATAATGTGCCCAAAACCGTAGTGAGCAGGGTCATTACGATGGGGTCAGACCAGTCCTGATCCATCGCCTGGGGCCCAGTGTTTTACATGTATTTCCTCATCACTACCCATGGCTATCACTGTATCCAGTTTGGAGGTGGGAACTGGGGTTCGGAGAGGTGGAGTATGTTGGCCAAAGCTGCGCAGTCAGTGGTAGAGGCAGAACTCGCACCCAGGCCAGCTGCTCTTCCCACACAAGTTAGCATAAGTGCTCGGGGCAGGATACGGCAGAGAGAGCAGTTCTCCAAGTGTGGCCCCTGGACCAGCAGCATCAGCACCACCTGGAAGCTGGTTAGAAAAGCCAACGATCATGCCCCACCCCAGACCCACCGAATCAGAAACTCCGGGGGTGGGGCCGCGGGCTGCGTGTTAACAGGCCTCCAGATGAGGCTGACGGAGAACAGCTGGTCTAGAAGATGACAAGTGTGCTGGCTGGTCAGAGAACTTTCCAGCGCTGTAAGAGGCCTATCCAGGCCCCGTCTCCCAGGAAATGAGGCTTCTGGCCTTAGGGCTGAGAAGGGTTCAGGAGCCTCCCAAAAAAAGGGTGGGGCAGAGGGGACAGCAGCCCTGGGGGTCCTGGAACTGGCTCCTCTCTCAGCCTCGGTTTAGAGAGGAAATCGAGGAACCAGAGGGTGAGGGAAGGATTCGTAGTTGGGATCTAGTTGGTAGCTGGGGGCGGGGGCAACAGGCTCTACTGCAGCCCCGAGGGAGATACCACTGAGTAACACCCCCCAGGGGTCCTCAGTCTCTTTGGGAGAGACCCTCACTTGCCAGGGGACATCTGGCTGAGAGGCAGAATAATGCTGGTATGACTCCCGAAGAACACAGATTACAGGCGTCCCTCGGTGTCCGCGCGGAATTGGTTCCAGGAGGCCCCACCCCCACCCCGTGCAGATACCAAAATCCCCGGATGCTCAAGTTCCTTACAGAAGCCCTTTGCATCCGCGGATGTGTAATCCGCGGGTGTTGTGCAGGGTCTACTGTACATTCAAAACACACGGGCTACAAGGGGCTATGAACAATTCTAAAAGCAGCACTGAAGACTGACCCCATCAGGAAACAGGGCCTTGCCCAGGGTCCCAGGACTCGCGTCCAACTGTCTCACCATGCGCGAATTCCAAGAGGAGAATGGGAGGTCTGCACTGGGCATCTACGCCCTGTGCCTTTGCGGACATCACCGCCGCTCCTCGGCGGGATGCAGACCCTCAGGCTGGTGTGGGGGACAGCTGAGTCTAGGGCAAATGCTGCTCCCACGGAGTGAGGGTCTCCGGGGAGCAAGTGTGTTCCGGAATGTGCGGTCCTGGCCTCTCTGGGTGTGTGGGAAAGAGAGGGAGGCCAGAGTTCATATGCGAAGAGGCCAGTTCTGCCAAAGTGAAGAAAAGCAGACAGCCTGTGTCCGGAGGCCCAGACCGGCCTGGTCCTCAGGGGCCACCCCCACCCCTACCCCCGCCCAGCTCGCTCCCCCAGCCAGTGGGGAAAAGATTCCCACAGGAACTGGAGGCCCAGAGCGTTCCCTTCCCCGACTGCCCCGCTTCTGCCTTTGGACCTCTACCCGGTGGCAAGTCAGCACTGCTGCCCCAGGATAATTCACGCTACAGGGAAGGGGGAGGGGGAGAGGGTGGGGAGGGAGCCCTGCCCACCTCCAAGAGGGCTGGGCCCAGGGACGGAGGCATTTAGGCTTGAGCCTGAGGGCTCAGGCTTTGTAAACACACATTCTGCAGCATGAACAGACATGCAACATACAGCACCCATGCACACGTCACATGTACACAACACATCACACCACACATATATATCACCCCCACTATACACACACACACGACCTTTGCCCTGGCCTCTGATGGAATTCACCTGTAGGCCGGGGCTGGGACTCACTAGGGGGCAGCAAAGAGCAAAGCTGCCAGCTTACCTGGAAGCTCAGAGAACACAGGGTTCTCTGTCCCCCACCATCAGCCCCATGGGAGGGCAGCCCCAGGGCCTTCCTGTGGTCCCCAAACCTCATGTTCCCAAGTAAACCCTTCTGGGAACATCCAACCTGAAATCTTCCCATTGTCCTGACAACCCACGGGGTCTCACCCGCTTGGCCATAGGCAGCATCTCTCACCTGGACCAGTCTGTAAGCACCCTCTGTCTCCTTAGGCCCATTTTCCCTCTACCAGCCACACTTCCAGCAAATACCTCAGTCAACTCTGGCCAGTGGAACTGGAAGTGGGTTTGGAATCCAGTGACCTTGAGCAAGCCAGCCACTCTGAGCCTTAGTTTCCTTTTCCATAAAATGGGAATGGGACTATCTAAGAACATCATTAGGTGAGACGACATGAAAGCACCCTGCAGAGAGCTTGGCCACCAGCCAGTGCCGTCAGCTCCCTCTCCCTCCCACCCTCTGCCACCCCCACAGGTCATCATGGAAGCCTGGGTGAAGGGCGTGAACCCCAAAGGCAACTCCACCAACCCGAGCAACTGGGACTTTGGCAGCAGTTTCTTCTTTGCAGGCACAGTCGTCACCACCATAGGTAAAGGGTCAGGGTGGAGAAGGGCTTCCCTAAAGCCCATGCTGAAGTTTGGGTTTCCCAAAAGCAGATGCTAAAACAAGGATGTGGTTTGTCTAGGACATGACCCCAGGAAGCGTGAGTAGAGAAGTGGGAAAGTGAGACAGGGAAAGGAGAAAAGGCAACGAAGTTTGCAAAGATGAGCAGGGGACTGGTTAGGGCAACTGGGCTCACCCGTGCTGGGGACCCTCTGAAAAGCTGGGGTGAGAGAGTAGGAGTATTTGTCTGCTAACTCCTGCCCCTGCTGGCTGAGAACTGATCTGGACCTGCACACAGGCCAAGCACACTCCTACAGACAGAAGAATCTCTCAGGTGGAGAGAGATGCAGGGACTTGGGGAAGGAAGTCATCTGTGTGTGCCAAGCTGCAGGTGCTGTCCCAGGTGTTCTGAGGGGACAGGGCACAACAGCACCTGCTATGCCCCCTCAGCCAGAGAGCCCACCCACCTCCCATGGGAAACCCCCAGACCCCTGCTAACCCTGGTCTCCCCACCCATTTAGTTCAGTCCAATTCCATACACTTTCCTTGAGCTCAAGTGACATTCAGAGCAGGTGGGGTGGGGTAAGGGAGTATGAACTTGGATCAGCCCTGGGCTTGGCCCTCGAGGAGCTTCTAATCCAATGAAGAGGGATCAGATAGAGCATACCAACAGCAAGAATACAAGGCAAAGTAAATAATTAGATAGGAATAACACAAAGCGCTATGGGAAATCACACCTAGTACGGAGGAAGATGGTAGCAGTCAGGAGGGCTTCCTGGAGGCAGTGTTGGAGATAGGCCTTTAAAGACAAGCAGGATTCTTACAAATAGAGATCATTCTAGAAGAGGTTGAGAAGAGTGTTCATGGGAAAAGGGGAGCTTCCCCTTCCTCTCCCCAGAGGCGGTAGAAAACCAACCTCTGCTAGAGTCCCTTCCCCTTTTTTGCACACCCCTCCTCCCCCTGCAGGATATGGGAACTTGGCGCCCAGCACGGAGGCAGGACAGGTCTTCTGTGTCTTCTACGCCCTGGTGGGCATCCCACTCAATGTAGTCTTCCTCAACCACCTGGGCACAGGGCTGCGCGCCCACCTGACCACGCTGGAGAGGTGGGAGGACCAGCCCAGGCGCTCCCAGGTAGGGCCCCTTCCTCCCTGCAGCCCCGCTGGGACAGAGTCTGTGGCAGGTAGGGTCCTCCAGAAGCTGACACTGAGCTGGAGTTTGGCAAGCAGGGTATTAGGGGTAGACCCCTGTGGAAGAAGAGGACTAGGCAGAGGGAGGAGCTGAATTGTGGTGCAGTCTGGACAAGGACTTGGCCCGCCCCTTGTCCCTCAGTGGGCTGACGTGGCCAGGACTCTGCCCCTGCCTCAATCAGGTACAGGGAAGGTGTGCCCTTGGGCCAGGCTGTTCTCTAACTGCCATACATTCTGAGGGAGCTGAGAGCTGGAGGCTGCTGCCTGCCAATGGCTTGTCAAGATCTTCTCTGAAGGGGGATCTGGGTGGCACATCTCCCTGGTCATTACAGAACTCCAGCATCCTTCCCTGTGGTCAAAAACAAACTCCCCACCACCTTGAACCCCCCCAGTGCCCACCCTGTCGTCTGGCCCCTTGCAAAGCCAGACATGCTAGGAGGGCAGGGGTACAGAGGAATCTGGGACAGTTCAATGACTGTCCTCCATCCCATATCGGAGTCCCTAAGTGGGAGAGAGAGGCTGTACATACAGACCCCAAGCTGGAAAGAGTCTCCAAATTCTAGCCTGATCCACTAACACAATCCCTTTGACCAAACCTTTCTCTGGCCTGGGCAAGATCACACAAACACAGATCCAACCCCCACCCCAAAGGTCGGCAGGGCAGGGCAGGGACCTGGCTACGGCCCGGCCCCACTTCCTAATTTGCCCCAGGCCCCCTCCCACCCTGGGGGGGCCTTCAAGTGGACTCAGAGACAGCCTCCTCCCCTTCCAGCTGCTGCGGACCCTGGGCCTGGCTCTGTTCCTGAGCCTGGGGACAGTGGTTGTTCTCATCTTCCCGCCCATGGTCTTCTCCCACGTGGAGGGCTGGAGCTTCAGCGAGGGCTTCTACTTTGCCTTCATCACCCTCAGCACCATCGGCTTCGGGGACTATGTCGTCGGTGAGAACAAGGCAGTCATGGATCCTGGGGTGGGGGCCACCAGGATTCAGGGGATGGAGAGATGTCAGCAGGGGTAATTACTGAGGACCAGAGAGCCCCTGGTTATTCGAGGGAGAGACAAGTACTTCATGAGGCTGCCATGAATTCTCACATCCTCAGAAATCACTGGTCTAGGATCCATCCCCTTTCCCCCAGGGACCTCCATTGCTGATGCTTGTTATGGGGAGGCTGATGGGGTCCCCTATGGAACCTGGAGGGTGGCTGTGCCCTCAGACCTCTGGCATTTATCACATCCCCCTTCCCTGCCAGGCACGGACCCCAGCAAGCATTACATCTCAGTGTACCGGAGCCTGGCGGCCATCTGGATCCTCCTGGGCCTGGCGTGGCTGGCGCTGATTCTTCCACTGGGCCCCCTGCTTCTGCACAGGTGCTCCCACCTCTGGCTGCTCAGCAGAGGCCTCATCCTCAAGGATGGGGGAGCCCCCGAGACAGACGGACTCCCCAGACTCCAGAAGATCCCCATCTCTGCATGAGGCCCTCCAGTGGCTGCAGGAGCCCCTCCCAGCTTCCCCAACCCCCCCCCATATGCCCTCTGGATTTACTGCCTCCCCTCCTCCTCTGCCAACCCACTCACCTCCCAGCCAGACCTGGTCTCAGAAGGGTTCTCCAGAGAAAGGAGACAGGGGTGTCCAAGAAAGTAACGGAAAGGAGATAGAGACACAGGATGGGAGACAGGTGAGGATGGAGCAAGATGTGTGCTGTTATTCCAGAGCCCCTACCTCAAAAGTGATGCTGAAAAGTTGAATCTAGACGTGGATCACTGTGGCCAAATCTCCATTGCCCTCCCTGCACCCCCCGCCCCAGGAGACCTTATAGAGGATGGCAAACAAAGGGCGGCTTTTTTCTTGCCTCATTTGATACGCGCACATTGTGTTGTCAGGCCCCTGCTGTGTGTCCAGCACTGTGCAGGGCTCTGGGGAAAGAACAGTGACGATTCCTGCCCTCCAAGAGCATCTAGTCGACTGCAAGGAATAGACAGGCAGAGGCAGCCCCCACCCAATGCCCAAAATGGAATGACAGCGACAGACCATGGTTTGACGAGTGCCCATGTGACTGGCTGGCAGGGAGAGTCAAGGAGAGGGCTGAGCAGGGACTTTGGAGCCATTCAGATAGAACATCTGTCTTCAGGAAGCTCCCAGTCGGAGGGGTAGGCAAGCTGCCTCTAAGCCTGCCAGTTCCCCTGGCCTAGATGTCGAGAGCTGTCTGTGAACAAGGCTTAGGCACTCGTGGGTGTCCCACCCATGTTCCTGAGCATGGCCTCCCTTGACCGCCTAAGGGCACCCCATGACCTCATCATCCTTTCTGGGCTCTTAAGAGCCTTTTCAAATCCTCCCTGGGAAAATGGACACCCAGGAGACTTCTAGGAAATGAACTTTGTGGAGGCCTGGACTCCCCTGGGAATGCCCTCTGCAGCCTGGCCTCTGTCCTGCCAGATTGTGGCATCTCTGACCAGAAGTTGAGGAGAGAGTTACACCAGTCCATCCCCAGGCCCAACCTCACCAAGGACTGTAAGCCTCGACCCCTACCTCTCCCAGCAAGGCAGGCCCATAAGTGGCCGGGGACCTCCGAACAGGACTGAGGCAAGGCTGTGAAGCAGACGAGGTGCCAGGTGGGACACCCAGGGAAGGATCTACAGGAGCAAGAGACCCAGGTTCCACCCAGCTTTCCAATAATGGAGGAGAGGCCTGAGAACCTGAGGACCTCCAGGGGCTCTTTACATACCCTGGACCCTTCCTCCATTCCGGATGGGAATAAAGGGGCATCTTCAGAAGCAGGAAATGGACAAGCCCACTGGTCAAGTCTCCTCTTGCTTCCGAAGTTCATGGAACAGTGGTGATCAGGTGGGGTCCCTCATCTTGGGATACACAAAGGAAAGGATGGTGGTGAGAGAGATCCAGAGAGGACTCAACAGGCAGCAGGTCCTTGGCGACAGTCCCAGGGTCCAAAGACTTAGGCAATAAAATTGGCTGCCACTTTCTCTTCCCCCTGAGTGCGGTCTCCAAGAGTCTCTCCCACTGTTTGCTACGGGACAGGCTGGGAACTCGGCCCCTTCCTTCTGAACCTGCGGTAACCCAGCAGCCCTCCCCTTCTCCCTGAGTTAGGCCTAGGGGTGGGCACTCCACACACATTCGAGGCGGCGCCAGATGCTCATAGCTCCGGCCTCTTTTTGTCCCTGGAATTGGATCCCAGTGCAGGGTGGGGCAGGGCTGTTCCATTCCCCAGCACGCCTCCTCCGCTGAGAAAACTGGACACAAGCAGGCGTTGGCTAGAGAAGGGACCAGCTGGGCTCTTTCCTAGCCCTTCCTTTCCGCCTCAGTCCAGGCCCATGGCTCCTGGGTCCAGCCCCCCTGCTTCCCCTTCTAGGTACAGACAGAGAGCCCAAGACGCGCCCGAGGGCAGGGTTTCGGGCCGCGCGGCGCCGAGCACATTGCTCCTGCTGCTCGCGTACCTGGCTTACCTGATACTGGGCACGGGCGTGTTCTGGATGCTGGAGAGCCCAGCGGCTCACGATTCCAGCGAGAGATTCCAGCGCGACAAGTGGGCACTGCTGCGGAACTTCACGTGCCTGGATGGCCCGGCGCTGGACTCGCTGATCCGGGTCAGGGGCGAACGGGGCGGCCTGGGCGCGGGGGTGCTGGCGTAAGGGAGTGAGGGCACGCCCTGGCTCCGGGTCAGGGCAAAGCCGGGAGCACGTCTCCAAAAGAAAGTGGTGGAGTTAGACGCAGGGAGCGCGCGTTGCCGTTTGGGGACCAGGGGCTTGGACTGGACCGCGAAAGAAAGAGCTCCAGCGAGAGGAATGTGCAGCTCGGCGCCGTGGGTCCCGGGGTTGGGGGCGAGAGGGCATGACCCGCCCTGTCCAGAGAGTTGCGTGGCGCACGCATCCGAATTTGGGGATGCGGACGACAGGGGGAGCGCTAACCGCGTCCAGAGCTGGCAGGGCCGACCGGGTCGGGCAGCGTAGGGACAGCGCGCGCTGGCCGGCTTGGGAGGTGGCGGGAAAGGATCGACCTGGGACAACGAGGCGCTGTATCCGGGTCGGACCACAGGCGAAGGGCGAAAGGGCACTCCCGGTGCAAATTTGCGGAGTGGAGGTGAGGACGGCAGAGGGCGCTGGGCGGTGTCTAAGGATGAGCAAGACCTACAGCACGTCCGTTGGAGTCTGGGGGGAAAGGAGGTGCGAGGCGAGCCTGTCCCCGCTGGCCGAGTGGAATGGGTCCGGGGGGCTCGAAGGGCGCAAACCCGGGTCCGAGAGAAGGGCCACAGACACAGGGGCGCTCCATGGCTGAACCCGGTTTACTCCAAGTCTTAGAGCAGAGGGACTGGATGCGCCACCCTGACCGCAGAGGCCCAGAAAGGCTGAAGGGAGCGGTGGGTGGGAGGATACAGACATCATGGAGGACAGAGGCTGCTGAGGAGGGTGCGGGGAGACCTAGCGGGGAGTGGGGAGGAGGACAGGCAGGGGAGGGTTCTTCTGGGTGGGGCCTTGCAGATACAAGGACAGGAGATGCTCTACTGGGAGCCCCTCAGATTTGGCGGGTGCATCAACCTCCCGGGCCCTGGCTTGGTCCGCGGGCCCAGACAGCTGCGCTCCTAGCCTGAAATCACCACCCTGCATTCCCAGTCTCTCTTCTGGGGGGAGGCAGCGGGGGGCCAGTGTCCCAGGGTCGCCAATCCAAAGCTAGTCCCCAGAAGGTAGCAGGGAATTGTGTCGGGTGGGAAGGAACAGGTCACTGGAGAGGAAGTGGAGTCCTGAGCTCTGGGACTGGGCTGATGTGGCCTGACCTGGAGCTGAGCAGAAGAAGGTCTATCTCTAAAAACCTAATGTGATGCCTTAACCACCCACCACCTGCTAAACTTCTACAAATACAGCCTGACTGCCTAGTCCTGGAGGCTGTGTGACACGCCTCTTGACAATGTGGTGAACTTCAATTATCAGCAGCCTAGGCCCAGGGAAGGTGACAATGATGACAATGAGAATAATAGGAAAAGCTTCTGCACAGCATTCCTGGTGTATTTTTTGTTTCATCCTCACCTACCTCAGAAGCAGTACCATTATTATCCCTATTTTAGAGATGGAGAAACTAAGACTCAGGGAAGTTAAATACAAACATACCATGGCATAGCCAGGGCACTGGGGCTGTCAACTGCCATGAGTACTGCCTCTGTGTAGATCTGTGTATGTGGGTGATTCCCAAGATTCCCATCTGAGCTCTCATCTCTGTACACTTCCCCTCCACCCCCTCCTGCTACATCTCCACTTAACCCCCTTCCTCAACATCCCTGAGGCTTCAAACATCTCCAGGAATGAGGATATGGGGTCTCCAACCCAGATCTTCCCACTGGGTGCAGACATGTACATGCAAATTCCCAGGGGTCCTCAAATCCCCCCAGGGTCAGGAACTAGCAGCCCTCCTCCTCCCAGCCCTGCTCCTCCACATGTTCTAAATCTCTGTCATTGGCCTCACACCCACACCTCTTCACAGTGGTCCTAGGTGCTTCCCTCACTACCCACACCAAGTAGGGCCAGAGGCCAGGGCTTCTGAATATCTCCTCTCTGTGCCTCCTGGACCACTCTGTGCCAGGATGCAAGCCAGGCCCTCTCCATCACTCACCCCTGCAGGACTCTCCCTTTCTGGCAACTGCCAGCTGTCACAGGGCACGCAAACCTGAGCCTGCCTCCCCTTTTCTCAGTGACCTTAGGAGAGGCCTGCCACTCCATCCCTGGAACGGCAGACCCAAGCATGGCTTAGCTGTCAGATACCTTTCAGTCTCCCTGTTCTATATCCCAGGCACAGTCCTCCCTCCCAGCCTCCGCTCCTGCAGTCCCACTTACCTAAATGGAACACTCCTATCTGACCCTCAAGGGAGGTCCAACTGAAAATCACTCCCTCCGTGTAGCCATCTGCCCCTACCCCCATCAGATGAACACCATGCCTCTCTGTATTCCTACAGCATTATATTCGTAATAATCCTGGTGATAGCAGCTGCTGACATTTACCATGTTCCAGGTACTGTTCTAAGCCTTTACACCTAATGCCTCATTTAACCCTCACAACTCTTTGAAGTGGGTGCTTTTAGTATGCCCATTTTACAGAGAAGAAGACTGAGAGAGAAGTCCAGTTTCTTGCCCAGGATCGTACAGCTGCATGGCCTTCATGCCAGGCTGCATGGACAGCACCGTATCACAGTTAGTTATGTTTGTCTGTCCCACTGAGAACTGAGATCATGTCTCTTTCATCTTCAGGTCCCCTAATACACCCCATGCCGGGCTTGCCCAGTGCTTGTTGTAAGAATGGGAGTGAGCAGGAGAGAGAATAAATGGGGTTCTTCCAGCCAGTGAGATCTCCTGGGCTGACCTGGGCTCCAGGGCAAAGAGAGGGGAAGGAGCTGTCCCCATGGTCCCTACCCCTGGGGAGCCCCTGGTTGGAGGGGAAGGACCTCCTTGCTCCGGACAGGCTGTGATCAGTGGTTATGAGGACTGTCTGAGTGTATGTGTGCGTGTGTGCACTCAAGTGCCCATGTGTATGTGTCTGAGTGCAGGGACCCAACCGCCCCACAGATCCTGATGGTCACCACTACCTCTCCCCCAGGGCATCATCCAAGCCTACCAAAATGGGGACGTCGTCCTCGGCAACACCACCAGCATGGGGCGCTGGGAGTTCGTGGGTTCCTTCTTCTTCTCTGTGTCCACCATCACCACCATTGGTAAGAGCAGATGGGGCCAGGGAGGGTGGGCTGGGCAATGTGGCCTCCCCTGAGGGACAGGGGACCAGTTGCCTTTTGGAGGGGTTACTAGGGCCTCATGACTCTAGTGTAGGGAGGCCCAGCAGCATGGGCACCCCTGGGAGCAGAATCCGGGGCTCACCAACGATGTGCCAAATCAGCTTCTGCATTCCCCCAGGTCCCCAGGAGGTTTAAGAAGTGCTGCTCTGGAGACCTCCACCTCACACAGCCTTTCAGGAAGCAGAGGGTCTCCCATGTAGCAGTAAAGATGCTTCTGGGCACTACAAGTGTGCAGTCTCCTCAGCCAAGCCCATCCAACACTGAGCCTGGGAGGTGGGAGGGAGGTAAGGGAAAGTTGAGAAGGAAGGAGGGACAGAAATCTAAAAGGAGCCTTGACCCCCCTGGCCTCAGCTTCGGGTAGAAGTGGTCATTCCCAGAGGCCTCTCTTCCGCTCACTAAGGCCCCCCTCACCCCCCAGCACCATCCTCTCAAATCCTCCTTCCTCCTTCACACACAGGGAACCCTAGGCCAGATTTCTCTAGCCCTATCCTCAGGAGGGGAGGTGGGATTTGTCCTGGGAGGGTGCCTGGGGGCTGTTGTGAGGGGAAGAAGAGTGGCCTAGACCCCTTAGCTCTGAAACCCAGAAAGTGGGGCTGCCCCCAGCTGCGGCCAGACACCCGGCCCCAGCGCCTGCATGACATAGGGCTCACCACCAGGTGGCAGGCTGACACCACTGGTGGCTACCACTACCTCCTCCAGACAGGATCCTCTCCCCAGGAAACCAGTACCCCAGCTGCTGTCCTCCCCGGAGTGGAGCCAAGCAGATGCAGCCGGAGGATTCTCCACCTGGCTTTAAATCAGCCAATAATTCTTGGAAGCAGGTCTCAAACTACCTGGAAGCTTTGGCAGGCCTCCACCTTGAGGCAAGCTTGTTTGGGAGATCCCTTGACTCCATGGACCGTGCACCCCAGAAGGCCAGGACAGGATGGTGTTTACTCATCTTTACACCCCAGGATTCTAGTACAAGGCACGGTATACAGTCAGTGCTCAACACCACTGATGCATTAATGAATTCCTAAAATACCCATTCCACCAGCATGTATTGAGTTTCAGGGCAGGAGAGGATGCTGATGTGCAGTCACTGTGGGCCAGGCCTCCCAGATGTGGGGGGATCTTTAGCCTCTGAACCCCACACTTCCTCCACCCCTGACCCAGGCCTGTGACTTCAGCCCTTCAAATCCAGAGTTTTGCAGCCTGTCTTTTCTCAGCGCTGCTATTTCTAACATGGGCTAGTCCTTGTCCCTTCTCTCCACTGGGTTCTGCCCTGAAGCTGTCTGGGCACACTCTGGGGAGGAGGAGGAGGGCCGAGGAGCGGGGACCCCGCCCCACCCCCTACGCCCGGTCTGCTGCCCCAGGTGCTGTAAGGAGCATTTTTACATTTGAGATCTCATTCTGTCCAGATGGTCCAACTTCCAAGGATAAGACCTCTTGGTTTCATGTCACAGATGAGGAGAGTGAGGCCCAGAGAAGTTACATAGCTTGTAAGCAACAGAGTTGGAATTTGAAACCCAGCTGGGGGCCTGCATTGCCCTTTCCAACAGTGTCTGCCCTTAGAGGTTTACAAGATAAGGTGGGAATTCCAAACAAGTGGAAGAAAGAGCTAGCCATTCTGGGGTAAACAATAGGGAAGCTCGTGACTGTGATTCTGACCAAACACACACACACACACAGAGGATGTGCAGAGAGTTGGGGGGAGATGGGAGATGGGGTACATGTGGGACAGTCCATGAGGGAAGGAAGGGGGTTCTAAGAGGCACAGCAAAGGGCTGCCTCCTTGACACCCCTGTTACCCTGGGACCAGCACCCTGGAAGGGCTATACTTTCCACGCCCTAGAATGAAACAGCGTGTGACAGGCACACGGATGCTTCTGGGCCAGCAGGATGGGCCTGAGCCCCCAAATCATTCGTTATCTATAAAATCCACCCCTGAATCACTCATTTATTCTCTCATCTACCCATTCATCCATTCAACAAAAAGACTGGGTACTTAGTGTGGGCCCAATAGTTCTAGGTGCTGGAGATACACTGGTGAGCAAACCTGGCAAGTCCCTGCCCATAGGGGGCTGACACCCTACTGGGAGGAAACATGCAATAAATTAACAGAGCCATAGACAATATCCAGGTTGTGGGTGATGCTTAGAGCAAAGTAAAGACAAGTAAGGAGTCTGATAGTGACAGAGGGGTTCTATTGTAGATGGATGGGTACTGTTGTAGATGGATGGGCACTATTGTAGATGGGGTGGCCATCAAAGGCCTCACTGAAGCTGTAACACTGAAGCAGAGACATGGACAAAATAAGGAAGTGAGACATGCTGATATCTGAGGAAAGAACCATCTACCAGCAAGTGCAAAGGCCCTAGGTAGGGGTGTGGCTGGTGCGTCTAAGGAACAATAAAGAGGACAGGGTCGCTGGAGAAGGTTGCAAATGAGGTCTGAGGGAGAAGATGCAGGGGAGCCCAGCCACAGAGGACCTTGTAGGCCCTCGGGGTGTGTCCTAGGGCTGGACTAGCAAAGTGAAAGAGGTGATGTGGGTGAGGGGGTGGTGGGAAAGGGACACACTGAAGTGAGAGGTAGCCTAGATGGAGCTGAGGCCTCGAGCATTCAAGGGGCAGGTAAGGGTTCATTGAATCTCCCGATTCTGCTGAGGTCTGGCTGAGGAGAAAACCCTTTATTGTCAGCCTTAGAAAGGCAGAGACCTCCTTGAGGGTCCTCTCAGATATGGACTGTGAGTACCTCCACCCCATGGGCTAGAACTGGTTAAAAAGACCCCCTGGGACAAAGGATGACATGTTAGGGGATCCCACAGCTGGAGAAGGAAGGGTCAGTGAGGAGGTTTACCAAGGGAGTTACCCCTTCCTGGATGCCAACAGAAGGGAGAGGATGGCTCCAGAGGAGGCCTCTGATGTCCTCACACCAGGAGCTGATTCAGTAGAGTTTGATCATTCATTCAACAAACATTTATTTAGTACCTTCTGTATACCAGCTGCTTATGGGTTCACATTCCAATCTACAGCACACCTCCATTGCCTCCTTTCATCGCCACACTACACTGGGAGGTGGGTGTCAACAGCCCCATTTTACAGACAAGGAAACAGGCTCAGAAAGATCAAGCCATTTGCACAAGGTTGCACAGCCTGCAAGGGGCTGATCTGGGATTCAAATCCAGGCAGTGCCTCTGACTCCAAAGCCTTTGTTCTAGACTAATATGGGCTTTGGCCTCTCCTGGGTCTGTGCTCTCTGAGTCCCCTCAGTAAGGCGGGGTGAGTGTAAAACACTCATTTCAATAGAGTACAAGTGAGTGGGCATGTGCTCCCGGTCTCCAGGGCGGGGACGTCAGGCAGCGATACGGGGCGGGAGCAGAGTGTCCATTCATCCATGCCTGTTCACTCCTGTAGTTCCCTTCATTCATTCAACACACATATGGCAAGTAGTGAGCACCTATTAAGGGTCAGGTCCTGTGCCCATTGCTGCAACTGCAAAGATAATTAAGACCCAGCCCCTGCTCTTGAGGGATTCATGACCCCTGGGGGAGACAAACATGGAAACAAATTATTCTTATACAGCGGGTTACCCTCCAAGACTGGCAGAGCGCTGGAGGACCCGCCCCACAGGAGAGTCAGGACTTGAGGGCCATTTCCAGGAGCTCCAGGATGGGAAACACATGTTCAAAGGCACCGAGGGTTCAGAGGGGCAGGAGCGTGGCCAGAACTGGGAATGCAGGAGACCAGACAAGCTCGGAGGTGGGCTGGGTCAGAGTTTGGACTTTCCCCAGCAGACTTGAGGAATAATGAAGGGTGATGACCTGGGTGATGATATAATCAGGTTTGCATCCTAGAAAGACCAGACAGTGATGGCGACCAAGGATGAGAAAGGTGGAGGAGATGAAGGAGGAAAGAATGTCCAGGCTAATAGAATCCTTCCAAGAACACCTCATCCTCCCCTAGCTTCCCTCTTTCATTTCCTTCATGACAAAGGCCCCAACTTCCACCTCCCCGGGGTCACCTGATGGTCCATCATGGTCTGCCCCTCTCTCCCGAGGGGTTTTGGAGGAAGCCTAGGTGTGTGTGTGTTAGGGCCCTCTGGGAATTGGATTTCAAGATGGAATCAGACGTGCACAAGATTTATTGGGGAGGAGTAGGGGAAGCCTTTGATAAAGAAGGAGCAGGAGAGATGGTTAAGAGCCTCAGATGGCAAGACAGGTCTGTTACCTGTGAAAGGAGAGAAGAGAGGAAAGGGCCTTGAGAGGGGAGAACCTCAGGCTGCAGTGCAGCTCTGAGACAGGCTGGGCCAGGTGCTGGGAGCCCCTGAGCAGGACCGCCTGTTAGAGGAGTTGTCATGCGTCTGGCATGGATGGCCCAGCCTTGGTGGCCCCACCACTAGCAGAGAGACATGTCTGGAGACGGCAGAGCCTTGGCTTAAATGGTGCAGCAGATCCTGGAGGTGCAGTGGCTGGAGGCTCTGTACCTCCTGTGGCCTCTCCCATACCCCTCTGCCCACCCAGGGAGGGAGGGAATGAGGAGAGAACAGCAGGATTCTCACACTTCGTGGACATGAGCTCACACCCGCTGCCCCTCCTAGAGCTTCGTTCTCCAGTCTGTAATATGGGGCACAATCTCCATCTGGGAGGGTGGCTGTGGGGCTGGACTGCGGGAGTGAAGGCACAGGGCCCCTGCACAGCACCCTCACGGGAAAGGAAGGCTGGGATACACACCCCCTGCCAGGTCTGTAGCCGGTTAGGAAGAGGGTTCCTGGGGGTGGAAAGGCCTCCTGAGGTGTCCCCCTCTCGCTTCAGGCTACGGCAACCTGAGCCCCAGCACAATGGCCGCCCGCCTCTTCTGCATCTTCTTTGCTCTCGTGGGGATCCCGCTCAACCTCGTGGTGCTGAACCGACTGGGGCATCTCATGCAGCAGGGGGTGCACCGCTGCGCCCACAAGCTGGGGGGCACCTGGAAGGTGAGGGGGTTGCGGGAGTTGGAGAGTCAGGGGAGGGACAGGTCATTTCTAGAATGAGTGGGTGAGGTGGGAATCAGGGCCATGAGTCACTGACCCGGGGGAGAGTCTCTGGTAGAAAAGAATGGCTGTGACGGGTTAAGGGGGTCTGACGGGGTGGGTCGCTGATGGGAGCAGGGTTACTGGGGGAGTAACCCTTCTGGGAATCGGGGTTACTGGTAGAATGTGGTGGGATTGGGGATCTCTGCCCAGAACGGGGGTCTTCAGTAACACCAGGGCATCAGCCGGAGAGACATGGTGGAACCTGATGGACCACAAGGGCACAAGGCAGCTAAGCCCTTGGCCTGGAGCCTGGAGAACATACACCAGATGGAAAGACCATGAGGATAGCCTCCTTCTCACTGGGGGGAGCACTTGCCCTGCCTCCAACTCAGAACCCCTAGGCTGTCTGCTCCCCGGCCCCAGGACCCCATGCGCTGGGCAGAGGCCACATGGGGGCCGGGCGTCATGTGCACCCACAGGACCCGGCCAAGGCCCGGTGGCTGGCAGGCTCCAGCGCCCTCCTGACCGGCCTCCTGCTTTTCCTGCTGCTGCCCCCGCTGCTCTTCTGCCACATGGAGGGCTGGAGCTACGTGGAGGGCATCTACTTCGCCTTCATCACCCTCAGCACCGTGGGCTTCGGCGACTATGTGATTGGTGAGAGTCCCCTGCCCATGTCCCCTGGGCACCTGCTGCATGCCAGGCCCTAGGGTTAGGGACCCAAAGTCCAGAGGACACATGTATTGGCAGGTTCAACCTGCCTTTATGGTGTAATGGGGCCAAGGTCACCCAGCTAAAAAGTGACAACTGGCATTTGAACCCACCACTTTGCGCCGTAAGCCATACTTCTGACACCCTGACAAGCACAGAGAATTCCACAGGCTCACTGCTATCCTTAGAGCTCACCAGACACAGGGGGGCCCCTAAGTCTCCTCCCCGTCCATCTTTGTCCCAGGCTCTCTCCTGCCCCATGAAAAACCAGCTTTTTACTGTCCCTGGGCTGAGGGCCAAGTGACCCACGTTACAGCCCCCGGGGGTTGAGCCAGAGAGTCAGGGAGACTAGGGAATCTCCAGCCTTCCCCAGTCCTCATTGGAAAATAAATGGCCACCAGACTCTGAGTGTCAGTGAGAAAGGGCTGCATGGTCCGGAGGGTCCAAAGAGGGGTTAAATCAGTGGTCACCACCCAATGTGGTCAAGGGCCCCAGAAGCAACTGTCCTTGCATAATAAAGCTGAGGCACATGCCCAGCAGGTGGCAGCAGAGGGACATTCTGTGGGGTGCAGGGGTGGCTGGGCCCCTCAGCCTCATCCCCCTCTGCTCCCCACCGCTGAAGCGCCACCAGATGAGCCATGGTCACTGGCACCACCACCATGCTGGCCTCAAGGGGCTCTCCCTCCAATCCCTGCCCTTAAACTGGGGAGGAGGCCCTGCCCTTCTCTCCTTCAGAGACAGAACCCAGCTTGGAATATTGAAATGAGGTCCAACCAAAGTAAGGAACAGCTAGCACATCAAGCAACCAAGAGTGATGATTGTCACATTTTACTGAGGAGGAAGCTGAAGCTCAGAGAGGCCAAGCCATATGCCTGAGATTGCACAGGTAGTGAGATGTGAAGTCTGATCTGTTTGACTCCAAAACTCTTAGTCTTCAGACGACCTCACATATCCCCTCTGGGCCTCTGTGTTCCTGTCTATAAAATGAGGGGCCCAGGCTAGATGATAACCAAGACCCCCAGTGCCTCTGGCCTGTGTGCAAAGTCCCCTTCCCTGAGCCTCTCCTTCCCCAGGAAGAAAGGTACCATGTCAGGGGCCTTGTGCTGCCGCTTCCTGATACCCTCCATCCTGGAAGGGAGGTTGTTGCTCTGAAAGGAAATCTTTGGGATGGTTTCCCCCAAGTGGGTTATGCTTCACTCCTACCTTCAGAGAGGAGAATGTGTCTGAGGCAAGCTGAGCCCAGAGTCCCCAAGGGCCACATTTGCCCCCTCACAGCTCAGAGAATGATTTTTGGGTCTATCCTCTCCTTTCTGTTCCCACTGCCATTTCCCTGGTACAGGCAGGGCTGTTGCATATGGCTGGTTGTACAGGTTGGGCACTGTACAACACTAAGGGGTTGCCATTCACCCAGAGCACAGTGAGGATGGTCCCCATGGATTGGAGCAGCCTCTGTCCTTGTTCCCCCTTGGCTTTTATCACCTTTAGAAATGACAACTGCTATCATGTCACCCGCCCAGCTCCTCTGAAAACCTTCAATGTTTTCCTTTAGTTTTAGGACAGAGTCTAAGTTCATGACTCACCCTACGAGGGCCCTCTCCATATGACCAGGCCCTGCCTCCCTCCTTCTTCCACGCTGTACTCAGGCAGGTGAAATACTCTTCTGACCAGTCCAGCCGGAACAGCCTCAACCCAGTGCTATGATCTGTCAGGTCCGGCAACATTCCCTGTCCCCCCAACCAAACCTCCCCGCAACTAGGGCTCAAAGGATGAAACTCAGGAATTACCCCCAGTGATCATCCTAAACTCACAAAGCCTGGTTCTCTGAGAGCACCCAGTGAGAGGAGAGGGGAGGAGGAGTGGGAACAGGACCCCCAGCCACAGTATCTTAGTGTCCACTGATCACCAGGGTTCCCAGTTTGATGCTGCGTGGGAATAGCTGACAGCAGGCTCCCTCTGCTTGCCTGGAGAAACTGCTATGGGGCTAATAAGGATGATCTGTGAGGGTGTCCTGAGGCCCCACAGTCCCCTGAGGCAGGCATGGCGGGGAGGAGGGGGCAGCCCCTTTCTAGACACGGGCACCCTGGAAATAGGAGGCAAGGCCTCCTCCACCCTTGAGGGAGGGGCAGCGACGTCCACAGAATCATCTCTGCAGGAGTGAGGAGACTGCTCAGGGTCCCAGTTACCCTGTGAGCCACGCTGTGGGAGCCGCAGGGCGAGGGAGCTGGCATATGGGGCCCAGCCCTCCCAGAGTCCGCTTCCATTCCACACTGACTGAGACCTGGGCCAAACCCACAAGGGCCCTTGAAGTCCAGAGGGGCTCCGGGGCAGGCCACTCCGGCTGGGTGGTGGCTGGCGGCGCTGTCCCCTTCATATCAGCAGAGATTTGCTCCCCCACTTCTCCTTCTCCATGGAGCAGCCATCTCAGTGCCCTCACTTGCCCTCTGTGCCGGATCACACAGCACTGGGTTGGGGCTGCTCCGGCTGGGCTGGTCAGAAGAGCATTTCACCTGCCCGAGTACAGCGTGGAAGCGGGAGAGCCCAGAGTGAAGAGAGAGGCAGGGCCCGCTCACATGGCAAGGGCCCTCATAGGCCAAGACACGATTCTGTCCTAAGACTAAAGGGAAACACTGAAGGTTTTCAGAGGAGCTGGACAGGTGACAAGATAGTTGTAATTTCTGAAGGTGATAAAAACCAAGGAAGGACAAGGACAGAAGCTGCACTGATCCATGGGAGCCATCCTCACTGTGCTCTGGGTGAATGGCAACCCCTTAGGGTTGTGCAGTACCCAGCCTGAACAACCAAGCTTTGACTGCCTCATCTACAGACCCAGGGAGGGGAAGGAAGCTGATTAAGGTCACAGAGCAGGCAAGCCAAGGACAGATCTAGGATAGACTTCCATGCCAGGGATCCTCATATACATATGTTTTAGAATCTTCCATGCGAAGAGGGAACAACCCCCCCTCACCTCTTCCACATGTCTCTCAGCCTTCCTTGTCCTCCAGGGGCTTGACCCCTTTCTTGGATGGGAATGCTGAGGTCCACCACCTGGACTCTGAGCATCCACTGTCTTGCATCAGCAGTCACAAAGGGTGTTGTCGTCACAGCTGCTCCTATTGGCACAAAGGCTGTGGCCAGAGCAGCCCCCAGTTCCCAGCCGCCTGCTCCTCCCTGGCCTCCCAGCCCCCACATTCCTCAATTGCATTTGCAACTCAGTTGAGCGCCTTGCCAGCTGCCAGGTGTCCTGCCACTTATGATTTTGCTTAAAAAATGAAATAAGAGGGAAGAAGAATGCCTCCTCCTCTCCGTGGCCAGGAGCAAGCAGAGCTGAGGGGGTGGCCAGGGCCGAGAGCTGGCTCACAGCTGATCTCATTTGGGACCGCCAGCGGAATCGTGGCCCCATGATCCAATCAGCCTAATCCAATCCCGACTCCTGCCAGGCAGTGATGTTGGGTCCAGGGCTGTGGGCTCATCCCCGAGCTGGGGCCGAGGGAAGAAAGGTTGTTTTGGAGTCAGCAGGACAGGATGAGGGGTGGACAGAGGGGCGTGTGGTATGGAGATCTAAGACAGAAGCTTCTGAACCCTAGGAGTCAATCTAGGGAGGCTTCCTAGAATCCCAGGGAGGTGACCACAAGACCAGCAATCTCAAAGCGGTTTGGACTTCCCGCATTCTGCTTGCACACATCAAGCCATGTCTGTCTGTTTCTGTTTTGGAAATGTGCCTCTGACTTGCCCAGGCCTCCATCCTCTGACCTTGCTTCTCCCCCAGGGATGGACCCCTCCCGGAAATACCCGCTGTGGTACAAGAACACAGTGTCCCTGTGGATCCTCTTTGGGATGGCATGGCTGGCCTTGATCATCAAACTGATCCTCTCCCTGCTGGAGGCCCCACAGGACTCCTATTCCTGCTACAGCCACAGCTCCAAGGGAAACTTCAAGCAGCGAAGCGGGAGGCAGGACCCAGATGGAGAGGCAGATCCCCACTCCTCACAGCCAGACTGCTATCCAGAGGGGCCTATGGGAATTGTGCAGCACCCAGAACCCTCTACTCCAGTCTCATGCTGTGGAAAGGACAGCTAGGTATACTCCAGTATTTGCCCCACCTTATTCCTCAGCAGCAAGATCCCTGATTTTATGCTTGGCATATGACCACTCAGACTAAAGTCTACATTTTTTTTTGTCTTCCCTTAAAGCTAGGTGTAGCAATATGATTAAATTTTGCACAGCAAGATACACAGAGAAGTATTCTGTGTGATTTACCGATGTGACTTTCAGTGGTGGGGGTTCCTCTTTACCACTTCCTTCTTCTAGCTGGCTGCAATACTGATATGGTGGCTGGAGCTCTGGCATCCATGTTGCACCATGAAGCAGAGGCCATGTTTGAGACTGGTGACATGATAAGACAGAAGGAGCCTGGATTCCTGACGTTTGCAGAGCCACCATAACAAACCTGGACTGAATACCACCAGACTTCATTTATGTAAGTGAGAAATAAATGTCAATCTTATTTTTCAAAGTATTCATTTTTCTGTCACTCATAACCAAATCTAATTCGAATTCTGGGTGGCACACACACCCAGAGACAACGGCAGCATCTGAGACTGGAGCATTCGTAAAGAGAAACCACTCCCTCCCCAAGTGAGTTTGCCCAGGACCAGCAGAGAATGGACGGAGGGTTGAATTTCGGGCCCCCTGCCCCTCCAGAGACCTTCCAGGTAGACTCACTAAAGATTGGCTGAGAACTCTCAGGGCTGATACAGCCAGAAGGCAGCTGGTCCCAGTTTGGCTGCTGAATCCTAGCTCCAGCACTCACTCACACCGCAGAGAAGCCCAGACCAGGCCAGCGGGCTCCTCCTGCCTCAGCCTGCCCCACTGCATTTGAAGGCTCCGAACAGTTTGCAAAGCCAGGTAGGGTTTGCAAAGGTCACTTCTATTTGCGGAGCATCTTACTCTGAGCATTTCTGTCTCTTACTCAGGGTTGTTACTAAGGCAGTGCATAGCCGTGTGGTCCCCAGCACACCCAGATTCCCCAGCCAGGACCTGAAGGTCACCTGGGACAGCGGGGTTCTCGGCCTCAGTGGGCACCTGCAACTCCACTCCCCTTCACCATCCTACAGGTAGCATCACAGGGACATAGGGGGCTCCATGCGGCCCTCTCTGTGGACAAGTCCCTCAGCCTCAGGGCCCTCCTGGAACTGGGTCTGGGTCAGCCTCTTGGCCAAGGAAGAAGGGTTACACCATCCAGCTTGCGCCATCTGGCCTGGCCCTAAGTGGAGCAAGGCCAGACCAGGAGCAAACACCAGTGAGTAAACAGCAGGGCCATGCTCACTCCTTAAGGCCCACAGCCCTGACAGAGGAAAGAGAAGGGGAGGAAGAGATGCTGGAGGTCTAGACGTGGCATCCCTATACTTAGCACACTCCAGAAGGAGGACCTAGCGATTTAAAACTGGGAGAAGGGGAGAAGCCAGAGTGTTGGGGTGGCTTCTGTGGTCCCAACTCTGTCTTGCCTTGAGCCCCTTTCTCCTCATGCCTGGCCTCTCTAGACAGAGACCCTCTCTTCCCACCAAGCCCTTTACTGGGGCACAGCCCTGTTCCCGCTCAGAATGCCTGCTCCAGAGGGAACCTGCGACCTGTGGTGCTGGGGGCAGGGCAGAAAAAGGCTTCTGATTGGCCGGTTCCTTACAGATGTCTGCTCCACAGCCAATGAGAAGAGTCGCTGAACTCTGAAGTGCTAATCCAGAAGTGTGAAGGGGTATTGGGGAAGGAACATGAGGGGTTGTGGAGTGAGGGGAGAAATTGTAAGAGCCTAGCTGGGAGCCACCTGGAGAGGTCGGGGTCTGGGGAAGGCAAGAAAACAGAAAGGCAGACCTCAGGACAGAAATCACAGAGCAGAACAGGCAGTGAGGTCTTTCCCACATAGACAACAGGGAGGGGAAGTGGAGCGACGATGCCATGACAGGGGCGGCCAGAGAGCTGTCCGCAGTGTGCGAGCATGGAACCAAGTCATTCATTCACTCACACAACCTTGGCCCCTGAGGCCTGGAGGAGGAGGGAAAGGGACCCCTCAGAGCAGTTTAGTGCGGTGAAGGGTACAGAATTTGGAGCCAGCCTGCCTGGCTCACTCACCAGCTCTATGATCCTGGACAAATCACTTCAAGTTTCTTTGCATCAGTTTTCTCCTCTGCAAAACACAGATAAGAGCAGAACTGATCTCCTGGGATTAGAAGAGTGACTGTGCAAAGTACCGGAAGAGTGAGTGTCAGCCAGAGGAAGCATGATGTGCATGCGTGTCAGCTGCTGGCGGTCCACAGCAGGCCCAGTGGATGAGGGTGGACGGGGCAGGAGGCAGATGCTGTGCAGGCCAGCAGCTTCGTGGCAGGCAGCGCCTCTGCTGACCCCTCAGAGCTGGGGGCAGGCCAAGCGGGTTGGGCTGAGCAAGGGGTGATGCAGGACTGAGTCCTGCCCTTGGGGGTTCCCAGGCTGATACCATGGTGCTGCTGGCCAGGAAAAGGGGTCTGGATCAGAGTGAGTCACAGGGAAGCCTCCTGGCAGAAACCAGAAAACGCGCGCCAAGTGTACAAACTCAGGGCCGAGGACCATGATGCGGAGAGGCAGGCAGACCCCTCACACCAGCTAGCTGCTGCCTCTGCCTCCCCTCCCAGGTGGTCTGCCCAGTTCCGTGGCTTCAGCACAGCCAGGGCAAGATCAGACTCAGTGTCACATGGTGGTTACCTTTAAAACAGTGGCATCTTTTATCATTATCATCATTGTTACTATTTCCTAACATTTATTGGGTGCTTATTACGAGTCAGACACTGTTCCAAGCTCTTTACTTGTATCTGGTCATTTACTTCTCTCATAAAATCTGTAAGAAAGGAGCTTTTATTTTAATGCTGTTTTAAGATAAGGAAATTGAAATTTTCAATGGATATTAAGACCAAAGGTAGCCACCAGTCCCCATGGACGGGTGATCATGACGGGCGCTGCCAGCCCTCTGGGGAGTGAGGAGGGCCTGGCCTGGGGGGCAGGGAGACTTCCTTTGAGGCCCTTGTGATCTAGACCAGCCACTCCCCTTCTATGCCTCAGGTTCCTCACCTGTGAAAGCAGAGGCTGGCTTCAAGGGGACTGAGTCTTATACTTGTCCCTCAGCTTTTGTCTGGATTGCTCTAACTGACCACGTTTCAGGGCAGGAGTTCCTGACCCCACCCATCTCCCAAGGGCCACCCTGAGGGTTTGGATCCAAGAAGTCTCTCTCTCTCTCTCTCTGCTACAAGAGCACCGGGGCACATACACACACACACACACACAAACACACACACACACACACACACACACACACACCCCACCCATCTCCCAAGGGCCACCCTGAGAGTTTGGATCCAAGAAGTCTCTCTCTCTCTCTCTCTAGCTCAAGAGCACTGGGGCACATACACACACACACACACACACACACACACACACACACACACACACACGAGTTCCCCAGGCCCTTGCTCATGGCCTTTCTAATGCTGACCTCCATCCACTTTAGCAGCCAGGACAAAGAAGGACTTGACTAGTAAGGGCTGGAGAACTCAGTCTGGAGCAAAAGCTATGCTGAGACATCCCCATTCCCAGTTCCTTCAGCCCTTACCTCACCAGGTCCCCACCCCTGGGCTCCAGGCCCAGAGAGCACTGCCCTGAAGTTGGCCCCACTGACTGCCCACCAACCCTCCCTAAACCACCCACACTGCTGGCACTAGGACCTCTCAGCCCACGATCCACCCACCCACCCACCCACATGGCTGGTCTGGGGCCTCCCACCCTAGTCCATCCCAACCCCCCCATATACATACAGTGCTGGTCCCTGGGCCTCTGACTTCACTGGCCCTCCTTCCCCCCACCCCAATACACAGTGCTGGACTCCCTTATCTCCTGCCCCTCCCTTTACTGGGCGAAACTCATCTCCGTTAAAATTGTTCATTGGAACCAAGGAGACAGACATTCCCCATCCACCAAGGCCTTCTCAGATCATCCCTAGGGTTTTTGCCTAAGATTCCCAGCCCCCACCTCCACTCCAATCACAAAATTCTCTCGCAACCCCTCCAGGACCCATGTTAGCCCATGGCCTGGAGGCAGGAACAGCAACCAGAGCTGGATATGGCTCTTGTGGGGAACCGGGGATGCTCACCCCACCCCATTCCCCAGAAGCGTGAAAGCAAAACTGTGCAGACTTTCTCCCCTTCCCTCACTGACCCTGCTCCCTGCCCCTTACCTGGCCCTGGGCCTCAGTTTCCTCATACTTGAGATGGAAATGATAATAGCAGTATCTGCCTTGTGAGGAAGCCTGTTGCACAGCTGAAGCGAGTTCCTGCAAATCCAGAACTTAGGAAGGTCCGGCACAGAGTGAGTGCTATACGATTTGCCATCCGTGTCTGAGTTCCTTGGAAGTAGATCACGGGACGAGATTTGGCTGCTAGTCGTTTACTTGGGAAGTGGATCCAAGAAGCACCAGTGAGGAAGTAAGACAAGGAAACAGAGGGAAACCAAGGCAGAGGCTGTTGGTGAGCAGGTGACTGCTGTGGGCAGCCGGGGCTTCACCCCACGCAGAACCCTGGAAGCCTGGGTGGAGCGTGCCTGAGAATTGCCCCCCTGCAGGGCAAGGAAGCTGGGGTATATAGTCCTCAAATTCCATTTCTCACCGCTCGAGGGCTGCTGCCTGAGTATGGAGGTGCTAGCTCCCCAGCACATGTGCCACGCAAGCCTGCAGAGTCCGTGGGAGTGGTGAGTGCAGGGCAGACAGGGCACTGTCAGCAGCTGCCACATAGATGCTAACCACACGTGTGATGTGCAGAAGACATGGGAGCAGAGGGGACACTGCCCAGCTATGGGAAAGAGGATCCAGATAGGAGGAGACAATATCTGGGAAAGCTCTGAAGTATGAGTATGAGTTTTCCAGGCAAAGAAAAAGGCAAGCATTGCACGTGGTGGGTGCACAATAAATGTTTAAGTGATGCCAAGTAAATTGAGAGTGATTCAAATGATGAAACTTGTGGGGCTGACTAGATACCAGAAAGTCTGAGGCAGGCAGAGGAGGAGGTGATGGAGTCAGGTCTGTGGGCATCAGGAAAGGCTGGATCAAGGCGTGAGGCCCTGAGCTGGTCCCTGGTTGACAGGTGAAGAGTAGGGAGAGTAGACCAAGTGGGAGAATCTCAAGAACCAAGGCAGAGAAGTAGGAATGGTCAAGGGTAGAAAAGAGTATTAAAGAAAGGGAGGCGAGTACAGAGGAGGGAAGGGAAAGGGAAGAGAAGGGAAGAAAGGGAAAGGCAAGGAAAGGGAAAAAAGGTAAGGACAGAAGAAAGAGAAGGGAAGAAGCAAACTTGAGAGAGGAGTAAAAGAGACATAGAAAGTCCAGTCACAGGAGTCGAGGGAGAACCATGGAGCCCTGCATCACAGAGGTTCTCAAGAGCTGATTCCCACCCAGAGTGAAGGCATGAGCCATCCGAAAGGCTTCTCAGAGGAGGCGAGCCCTGAACCTGCCCAAGGAGCCGCTGCCAGCCCAAGAACATAAGCTTCCGGGAAAGAAGGCTGTAGGGCTCCTGGGAGTGAGAGTGAGCTGAGGGCAAGGCACTGCCGACAAGCCGGGAGGGAGGGCAGTGCCAGCGGTTATTACCGGGGCTGCACAAATATTGTTGTTTTGACTGGTGGTGGGGACTGGTTTATTTTCCCCTAGAAGCCACAAGTGTGATGCGCAGGTTCATTTTAGAACATGACACCATGGGAAGAGCAACGGTCTCTGGCCTCGCCTCTCCCACTTTTCCAGGGGAGACACTCACGTGCACACACACACTCAGTCCTAAAAAATAATCTGAACCACAAAAGTTTAATCCACCAACACCAAGGGTCTGCTGGAAATACCTCGCTTGATGCAATGGTAAGAATGTCACACTTTTTAAATATGTAAAGCACCTACAACAGTGCCTGAAATATTAAAAAAAAAACTCCATAAATGTCTTTACTATTATTTGCAAGCAGAATAGCTCAGCAGCTAAGAGCATGGACACTGCAGCCACATCATCTGTTGTCAGAGGTCAGCTCCACTGCTTACTGGCTGTGTGACAGTGGGCAACTAGCTTAACCTCTCTGTGCTTCAGTTTCTCCATCGAACACTGAAATAATAATAGTACCTCCCTCATAGGGTTGTGGGGATTAAATGAACTTGATGCATATAAAGAGCCTGGAAAATGGCGTGGCTCAGAGTAAATGCTGTACATGTGATCATCTATCATCATCACCTCCTGCCCGTGGAGGGAACCAGAAATGACCAAAGTCCCTGAAGCCTGCACCATAAACTCCCATCCCCCTCCTTCCTGCTGAAAACCAACTATACCTTGAACAATAGTGCTTGGGATTCTGAGGGAGGGAGGGAAGAGGGGAGAGAGAGAGAGGTATGATCTTGTACATTCAACAGGAGACATCAGATGCCCAAAGACTTGATTCCAAGATACTGTGAACCTCCCCTTTTCACCCCAAAACTACGTCCGGGGTTTGAGGCGCAGCTACATCCCTCTTCGCCACCCCTTCTCCTGCGGAGAAGGCAGAGGCATCTCCCCACCCAGAGCAAACTCTGCCTGTACTGATTAAGCCAGCCTCCAGGGCTGAGGCTGGTAGGCGAACCAAAGCTTGGATCTGGTCAGGTTTAAATCTCCTTTGTGGCTGAGTTTGTCTGGAGAGAGAGATGAGGGGCCCATGTGCACCATTTTCAGGTTTGCCTTGGAGCAACCTGCAACCTGCCACCTGGAAACCTCTCACTCTTGAGTGTGCTTCACATCCCCTGGAGAGCTTGTTCAAACACAGGTTGCTGGCCGTACCCCAAGAGCGTGTGACTTCTAGGACAGTTTGCTTTTCTAACAAGTCCTTACGCTGAGGCTGCTGGTCCAGGGAGCACACTTGGAGAGCCAGGTTTAGGTTTAGGAGCTCAAGCCTAGACAGACCTTCGTCTGAATCCCAGTTCTGCTCCTAGGACCTGTGCGACCTTGCAAGTCACAACCTCTTGGGCCTCAGACCTCTCACCTCCAAAGCTGGGACTCTAATAACTGTTCTCAGGTGGCTGTGAGGATTCCACGGGGACGTGGAGGCAAAGCCTCCAGCACAGTGTCTGGCCACACTGAGTAGACGCTGTGCCTGTTGCTCTCATTCCTC